CGCACGCCTTTAATCCCAGCACTCGGGAGGCAGAGGCAGGCGGATCTCTGTGAGTTCAAGGCCAGCCTGGACTACCAAGTGAGTTCCAGGAAAGGCGCAAAGCTACACAGAGAAACCCTGTCTCGGAAAAAAAAAAAAAAAAAGACCATTTAGCATTTCATCTACAAATCACTAATTAAGAAAATGCCCTGCAGGCCTGCCTACAGCCTGATACTACAGAGGCATCTTCTCAGTTGAGGCTCCCTCCTCTCTAATGACTCTAGTTTGTGTAAATTTGACCTAAAACTAACCAGCACAAGCGATCACTTGTTAACTTGACACACAAACAGACGCATATTAAGCCACAACTTTTCCTTTCTTGTTCATCCCCAAGATCACACATTAATGTTGACATCACAATATAAAACATTTTGCAAACTTATAAAGTTTCAGTTTTACAAATTCAAACACTTTAAAAGTTCAGTCTCTTTGTTAAGAAAAAAATCAAAAGTCTCTCAACTGTAGTCACCAATAAAATAAGTAAGATACTTTCTTATTTCAAAATAAGGAAGAACCAGGGAACAGTCACAATCAAATCAAAGAAAAACAGCTCCTACTGCCTAAATAACTCAATGTCCAACATCTTGGATCTACTCATGATCTCCTGGCCTCTTTCAAAGGGTCTGGTCCTTCTTCCTGGCTCCACATGCTGTCGCCAACACAGATCACTTCCTGGCTGGTTCAGGCTGGCTCCACTCCATGGCGGCTATTGTTCTTGGCAGTGGTGCCACTGGCATCACCAAAATACTGAGATCTCTTGCTGCAACTTGGCTATATTTTCACCCATAGCCTCTACTGGGCTCTCTCCAGGGACTCCAGCCCTGCCTCACAGTACCATTTGTAGCAGGAATCTTAAAGAGTCTTTTTTTTTTTTTTTTGGTTTTTCGAGACAGGGTTTCTCTGTGTAGCTTTGCGCCTTTCCTGGAACTCACTTGGTAGTCCAGGCTGGCCTCGAACTCACAGAGATCCGCCTGGCTCTGCCTCCCGAGTGCTGGGATTAAAGGCGTGCGCCACCACCACCCGGCATTAAAGAGTCTTTTTAATAAAACAAACCTGAGGCCAATTATTGGGGAAGATCAGAGAGACAGAACAAGCCACAGCTAACCTCACCTGGCCAACTTCTCAGCTGATCTTGTTTCCTCAGACTGGAAGCCTCTGTGTCCTCATATCCAAATGGCTCTCAGCTGAACTGTGCTGCTCAAAATCTAAAAGCTTAACCAGCCAAATGCTTCTAGTTTCTGGTCCTCATGCCTTATATACCTTTCTGCTTTCTACCACTACTCCCTGGGATTAAAGGCTCACTTTCTGGCATTAAAGGCGTGAGTCACCATGCCTGGCTGTATCCTTGAACACATGGATTTCTGCCTCTGGAAAGCTAGGATTAAAGACATGTGCTACCACTTAACTACAGTTGATTCTTCATCCCCAGCTGACCACCATCCATTGCCCCAGCAAAGCAAAGGTTTCACTCTAGTGGTTTTTGTCTCTTCTCAATCACAGCTGCTTCTTTAGTCCCAGAAGCATCAGACACCACAAATTCCTCACATAAAAGACCTGGTGAAGTCTTTGCTTCCCTCTGAAACTTCTGGCTAAATTCTTTATATACTTTAGGTCTTAACTAAGAGGTCATTTCCCAGGAAACATACTAGGATATCCCCTAAGCCATACAGAGTTGTCATCTCTAGTACTATAAACTACTATAGCATCGGGGGCTATGATGTACATTAAGTGTCTATTGACCTGCCTGCTTTATCCTTTAAACTCTAAGTTCACTAATAAAGAGAACAGCTGTGTGGCCTCATTGTGTTTTATCTTAAAGATTTAATGTCAACCACAAAGTACACAGGTACTCAATACAAACTTACTAAAGAAATACACACATTTTTTTTCCAGAGCAAATTTCAAATTCTCTTGAGGACTGTGGTTCTGATGGCTTTCCTAAAATATATTTCCTAGGGTAAAACCCATTGTCATTTGTAGTGGGTAGTCATTTGAGCCATTCCCTGAAGCACCACCCCTAGAGAGGCAGCTGTACCTGTTACACCTGCCTATGACCTTGAGGCACTGGCCTCTATGGGCGTGGCCATCTGGGATGCATATAAGATAGCTAGCCCCTCTTGGCTGCCTCAAGGTTCTGGATGCTGAGATCTGGGGCCAAGCTGTTCAGCATGAGACATAGCTCAGCTTTCCTAGACCATACAATAAAACTCCCATGGTTGTGAGTTTACCCCCAAATAAATTCCTTTGATCATTAAATAGACTCCGTGGATTTATCCCATTAGTCATTATTTCAAAGAGAAAATAAGTTGGGACTGTAGGTATGACCACTTATTGTAGAAAGCCATAGATGTGGCCATAACTGAGATATGAAAAGTAATATGGTAATGTCAAGAGCTGATGCATGATTTTCCATGCCCACTTCCCCAAGTCACAGGTCTCCTTCCTTCAAACATGGAAGTATCATTTTAAAAATGAGCTATGTACAGATGAGTGCCAGGCATGCACCATGGATCAAGAAGTAAATCTACAAAGTTACAAAATAATTCGTCTTGTTGATGTACTTCCCCCTTCCCCAAGAAGACAAGGCCTCCCATGAGGAGGCACATCCAGTAGAGGCAAGTCCAAGCCCCTCTGCTGTGGATATCACTCTGTATAAATAAACACTGATTGGCCGGTAGCCAGACAGGAAGTATAGGCAGGACTAAGAGAGAGGAGAATTGAGGGAACAGGAAGACAGAGGGGAGACTGCCTGGAGCCGCAGCCAGGACAAGGAAGATGTAAAGTGCCATGAACCACGTGGCAAAGTAAAGATTAATAGAAATGGGCTAAATATAAGAGTAAGAGCTAGACAATGATAGGTCTGAGCTAATGAGCAGTTTAAATAATCTAAGAGTCTGTGTGTTTATATTATAAGAGGGCTCCAGGACTGGCGGGACTTAGAGGGAGCTGGAGAGAAATTCTCCAGCTACACCCTTCCCCCTGCCTCAAGGCTAGAGAGGTGTCCCATCATAGGTAGTGGGCTCCAAAAAGCCTGCTCATGTACCAGGGATTGATTCTGATCCTACTGCCAGGGGGCCCCCCAAGCAGATTAGGCTACACAACTGTCTTGCCATGCAGAGGGCCCAGCTCAGTCCCGTGCAGGCTCCACAGCTGTTGATCCAACTTTCATGAGTTCCCACTAATTTGGTTTGGTCATCTCTTCAGGTTTCCGCATTATGATCTTGATGCACTTTCCATAGACTCCCTCTTCTCTCTCCCCAACTGGACTCCTGGAGCTCTTCGTTCTTGCTGTTAGGACTTGCACTCATTCCTCAGGGCAGAAAACAACAAATATTCTCTTCCCAAACCTTCCCTGCAGCTATGAATAATCAATCACATGGCACAGTTCTGGAGAAGGAAATATAATGGGGATTCTTCTTGTGTTCTTACTAGTTTCCACCTCCCAAAGGAAGATCCTAAATGGAATCTTCTTCCCCCTTTACTTCTTCATGCAACTGTACAGAGCAATCTTTTAACTGTGAGGATAAGTCAAAAAATTAATATCAATATGCTGAGAAGAGTCTCAATGATGTCACTAAGTAGGTAGAACATACCTGAATTAATCACCTCAAGAGTTATTCCTATGTGAGATTGTTTAGCGTCTGGACTACTCTTGATCAGAAATACCTTGTTACCTACAGCTGGGTGCATCTTAACTCTTTGTGTGGGACAATATCTGTTTCCTTTCCTGAAATTTTATCAGTTAGATTCCAAAAGCCAGTTTAAATAAGCAAGTAAGTGTGAATGCTCAGGAACCATGGGCATCTGTGGTGATATTGTGTTCCCCAAAATATTGTGCACCCTAATAAACTTATCTGGGGCCAGAGAACAGAACAGTCACTAGATATAGAAATCATCTAATGATGGTAATTTTTGTTTAAGAATAAAACGCACATTTTAATACCAGGGAAAGGCAATGGGCTTGCTTATACTAGATGAGAAATATAAGACAGCAGGTTGCAAAAGGATGTTCACCTATAAATTTATTTTTGATCTTACTGTTTAGAATCAGCTCAAAAATTTATAACTAGCTACCTGCCGAGAAAACTTCTTGGTGTCCAAGAAGCTCACAAAGTACCTGCTATACATACTTCACCAGCATCAGACCTTCAGCGGTTGGGAGGAAACTGGGGATGGATGCATTTAGTTTGAGTGACTATCTATCTACAAAGGTTATTTGTACTACCCACCCCACCTTGAATAACAGAACCACAGCCTTCTTCCATCTTTCTTCAAAGTGTCCACATTACCTCTCATTACACAATACTTCTCACAAGCATTTTTCCAAGTATAATTCTTCATTTATTATTAAATATTCTCTTGAACACTGACAATTTTTACAGACTATGCATCAAAAATATAGACCTGGAAAAGGAATTATTCTATGCATTCTGAGTGAATCACAGTATTCTTGAAATCAGAGTAGGCAAGGCACAGCAAGTAAAGCACAGACAGTTGGGCAAACAGACTCTCCTCCACAACAGTGCTCTCGCCAACCCACATCCTTTTTCCAGAGCTTCCTCCATGCATTTTGGCTCCATGAAGCTATTTCCAAACAGAGACACAAACAGGATCTGTGGCTTTAGGTGAACTGATCAGACCAGTTGCCTGGTGGGTTCCTTTAGGCCCGGGTAACTATGGTTAATGCAGGGACCTGTTTGTTTTATTACAGACTGCCAAAACTAGAAGCACATAGGCTGGAAGAGATTAAGTCTACTGAGGAACTATGTTTCTGTGGTTTATTTCCATGCAGGGCTGGGTACACAGATACGGGATGCAATGACCACTGTCGCCTAGTTACCAATGATAAAAAGGGACTCTTAGGCAGACTTTTTGAGAAAAACTTCATTGGGGAGAATAGTGGTAGGAAATACATCCTTGTATTCTTCTGGGCCATGAGAAATGCATTTTAAAATACATCATGGTTTCTACTGTATATTGTTTTTATTTTGAAATAAACTATTTTCAAAATGTGATAAGTCCTTGAACCTTTATACATAATAGGGTGTTCTTATCAGGAAAGAAGTTCACACAACCCTTGAAAATACTGATTAGTTCATTCTTCAGCAGTTAACATTAGTTCATGTTTCAGCATAGAAACACTGTCTGGAAAATGGAGTCACTGAATCATGCTCTGGGCTCTTTTTGATTCGGTCTACTATGCTTAAGTATGTAAGCCAAAGGGGAAAAGTGCAGGTTTGTCTTACCATCATTGTTCTCAAAGTGAGTTTAGTATTGAAATGAAGATTGATTTTCTTCTAAAATGCTTCCTCCTTTGCATACCTACAATAATATGACTTGGCGTTCAGAGATTGACTTTATTAATAATTAACTTAGGTAATTTTAAATGCAACTAGTACTTTCAGACAATTCATGTCAGATTGTCCTAGCTCATTCATTAGACTGTCTGTATTGTAAGTGCCAAAACATTACTTTCAGATTAATATCTAAACATTGTTTTGGGCTTCTTTACTCCCAGATCATAACACCCAGTACAGAAGACATCTAATAGATCATCTGAAATTTTATGACTTTCAAATGTCTCTCCAGAATTTATATTTCTGGTTGACTATTTTATCCTTTATTTATTCATCTACACAATCATCTCAATATGATGTCAGTAACTGTGAAGACCCAGGAATGAGTACAACATTGGCTATATATGTACCTTTAAATAACTATTCAGTAATTCAAAGGAACCATGCATGAGTGCGTAGCTGATAGGAGAACAGATAAATGCATTTAAAATTTCCCCTTTGATGACTGCATTTCCAGCCTTTGTTCTATAATCTACATTCAAGGCAAAGCTTTGTAGCTTGAGATACACTTGACTGGTGAAAACATGTCAAATCATTTAGAGTAAATCTTGGGAAGGATAGACATGCTTTAGCAGGATAAGGACACTTTGAGGAATACAAGGCATAATCAGAGCACTGTAATGGCTTCCGCATAGTTGGACTCTGGAGGCCATTCCAGAAAAGATATGAAAATGAACAATAACCCTGAGCCAGGCAGACCCATCCCAAAGTGACTGATTAGAAGGATTAAGTTCATTTGAATGCAGGAAAAACTGGCATGCTAATTTTCTGGCTATATTTTAGCTGGGTTCATATATTTGTAGTAATGTTACATGATACTTTGTAAATGCAACTAGAGGAAAATATATAATAACCTTATTCTAACCTAAAGTGAATTAAACCTCATTTTCCTCTCTGAAAGATCAAGTATCAATCTAGAGGACTTCTAGAAAGTTCTCTAGTGTTCTCATTCAATAAGTCTATAAATAAATAGGTTAAACATTGTTCACATATCTTCAGATACTATCAATATACTTCTGAGATTTCATATTAAAGGGAATTCTCTCTTAAGCAATCACAAAACCTCAAGTAAAATCAAGCTTTAGGATGAAGACCACAGGGTGCATGGTTTCCAGAGGACTTCTCTCATACATATTCTCTCACCCACTAATAATATATTCTCTCATCCACTAATAACTATTCTCTCTCTCTCTCTCTCTTTCTCTCTCTCTCTCTCTCTCTCTCTCTCTCTCTCTCTCTCTCTGTCTCTCTGTCCCTCTCTCTCTCTCTCTCTGACCATGCATGTGCATAATCATACAAACACATAGACATACATATGTGTCCCATTAGCAATAAACTATCTGTCCCCCAAACAGGGACAGTTACAAAAATCAAACCAGTAGCTCACATTTGTGTGAAATCACTCTATAATGTACACAGAGAAAAGCTGTTTTTCAATATCTGCCAACTTTTCACTAAGTAGTTAGAACTTCAAAAGGAGAAGAAATGCCTTCAAATGCAAGTATGACAGCAGGCCTCAGAAGCTCTTGCTTCCGATTGTGTCCAAAATATCTTATTCTGTAGATTCCAGGCTGTGCAGTATCTGGAATATACCATTCAATTGTTGCATTGCTCAGACCCAGTATTCCCTTGTGCCAATAAAACCTGTTAACAGAAAACAAACATATAAAAAATACAACATTGCTCTTTAAAATGTATGGTTTTCATCCTGTACAACAGCCCAGGTCTCCTCCCTACCAGATGACTTCATATTGATCATACAACATTTAACCTACAGGCTCAGCCTGCGGTGCACATCTTATACCAGGACCTTGACTGGTAAGTCCACTCCTTGAACATCCTCCCCAGTTCCTAGATCTACCCTGAGTTCCACATCGAATGCCCCATCCCAACCCAGTCAGTGCATCCGATCTGCCCCCAACCTACAGTCTTTGGCAAGGATGTGCACCAGTACAAGTTCCCCTCCTACTGCTTGATTTCACCACACCTCTACCATGGCCAGCTCTCAGGTCCACCCAGCTCATGCATCCCATGTTCTGTCCCAGCCACATCAGACATAAAACCAACTGAAGAAGTCCACATGCTCAGGTCATTCATATATATATATATATATATATATATATATATATATATATATATATATATATATATATATGAAAGAACAAAACAATTTGTCTTCCTCTAAAATCCAGCACTCCTATGGAAATGTTCTCCAATGATAATTATCTGGAAGAATCACAGGACACAACATTTGAAAAATAATCATAAACCTTATCCAAGAACTCAAGAACTTTACAGAACACACAAAGAAACAAACCAATTAACTTAAAGAGAATGAGTGCCTGAATGGTACCCAAGAAAATACAAGCATAAGGCAGAATGAAGTGATAAAGACAATCCAAGATTTGAAAGCTGTGCTGTGGAATAATCCTGTGCACTGTGAAAATGTGCTGCTTTCATTGTTAATAAAAAGCTGAATTATAGTTGGGACATCCAAACAAGGAGAATGATGGGAAGAAGAAGGACAGAGTGAAAAGAAACATCAGCCAACTGCTGAGGAAGCAGGACATGTAGAAAATGAGGTAACAAGCCATGAGCCATGTGGCAAAGCATAGATAAGAAATATGGGTTAATTTAAATGTAAGAGTTATGTAGTAACAAGCCTGAGCTATTGGTTGAGCATTTGTAATTAATATTAAGCTTCTGAGTGATTATTTGAGAGTGGCTACAGGACATAAACTTCCATCTGCAAAGCTGAATTCAATAAAGAGATAGAAACATTGAAGAGAACTCAAGCTGAAATGAAGATGGAGTATTAAAAAAACTCGATAACCCAACTAGAAAACTCAAAGGAAAAATCATACTAGTAGAATGAATCAAGCAGGATATATTAGGACTTGAAGATAAAGAAATTAGACCACATAAGCAAATAACATGGAAAAACAAAAAAATAAAACAGGACAGGGCCTGAAGTAAATATGAAATACCAGGAAAATAACAAATTTTCAAATTATAGGCATAGATGAAGACAATGAATCCATGCCAATGGATAGAACTGATCTTCAGATCTTCAACAAGACAATAAAAGAAAACATCCCAAAACTAAGGAAGCTACACTACTGTACCCAGCAAATCTATATGCCATAGTTGAAGGAGAAAGAAAAAATTCAGAAAGAAAAAAACAATTCCTGTTTATTATATCAACTCTAAACAAAATACCAGAAGCAATATTTTAAATTCAAGAGAGGAATAACCATAGTCAAGCAACTATAGAAAGAAAACAAATGAAGCTATAGTTACTGATACATAAAGTACAATTAATAGTGCAACACATGCTCAACTATATTCATAGCAGCATTATTTGTAATAGCCAGAACCTAGAAACAACCTAGATGCCCTTCAGCTGAAGAATGGATAAAGAAAATGTGGTACATATACACAATGGAGTACTACTTAGCAGAGAAAAACAATGACATCATGAGGTTTGCAGGCAAATGGATGGAACTAGAAAATATCATCCTGAGTGAGGTAACCCAGACTCAGAAAGACAAACATGGTATGTACTCACTCATAAGTGGATAGTAGATGTAAAGCAAAGGATAACCAGACTGCAACTCACAACTCCAGGGAAGCTACCTAGTAAAGAGGACCCTAAGAAAGACACAGGGATCGCCCAACGACAGAGAAATGGATGAGATCTACATGAGCAAACTGGGGTGAGGAGGGGTAATGGAGGGCAAGGGTTGGGGGAAAGAGAACTTAGGGGAGTGGGAGGTCCCAGCTGGATCAGGAACAGAGTGGGAGAACAAGGAAAGAGACACCATGATAAATGAAGACCCCCACGGGAATAGGAAGAAGCAGAGTGCTAGAGAGGACCCCAGAAATCCACAAAGATACCTCCACAATAGACTACTAGCAATGGTCAAGAGAAAGCCCAAACTGACCTACTCTGGTGATCGGATGGCCGAACACCCTGTCATGATAGAACTCTACTCCAGTGACTGGTGGAAGCAGATACAGAGATTCACAGCCAAACCCCAGGTGGAGCTCCAGGACTCCAACCAGTGAGAGAGAGACATCGAGACCATGATTGGAAAAAGCACAGGGAAAAATAGCCAAACTAGCGGAAACACATGAACTGTGAACCAATGGCTGAGGAGCCCTCACGGAACTGGAGCAGGCCCTCTGGATAAGTGAGACAGTTGATTAGCTTGAACTGCTTAGGAGGCCCCCACACAGTGGGACCGGGACCTGTCCTTGGTGCATGAGCTGGCTTTTTGGAGCCTGGGGCCTATGCTGGGACAGTTAGCTCAGCCTTGGTGTAGGGAGGAGGGGACTGGACCTGCTTCAGCTGAATCTACCAGGCTCTGCTGACTCCCCAGGGGAGACCTTGCCTTGGAGGAGGTGGAAATGAGGGGTGGATTAGGAGGGAAGACTGGGGGGTGGGAGGAGGGAGGACAAGGGGAATCTGTGGCTGATATGTAAAATTAAATTAATTATAAAAGAAAAATATTTATTAAAAAAAGAGTACAAACAACAAAAAGCAACAAATGACTATAATCAACACAAACCATTCAACAATAACTTTAAGTATTAAAGCCCTTAACTCTCCAATTACAAGACACAGGATGGCTGAACAGATTAAGAAACAAAATCCATCTTTTTGTTGTCTACAAGAAACTCAGCTTTAAAGATAAGCACCATCTTAAGGATGAAAAAAAAAAAAACCAAACAAACCATTTACAAGCAAATGGGACATGGAAGCAGGCAAGCATTTCCTAGAAAAATAGACTTTGAACTAAAACTAACCTGAAAAAATAATTAAGGATACTTCATTCTAATCAAGGGAATATTAACCAAGAAGATATCACAATCCTGTGTGTGTGTGTGTGTGTGTGTGTGTGTGTGTGTGTGTGTGTGTGTGTGTATGTGCATGCGCACGTGCGCGCGTGCTGATGAAGGACCTTTACAATGAGCTCTACCAAATCATGTCAGCTCCTTCACCTAGTACATTTGTCAACCAATTTACAAGAAGGCCAACTAGTTTTTCAAGGAATTCCTGTGACCGTGGGAAAAACAAAGTTGATGAAAGCTGGAGGGGGCCATAGCTCAGGGATACAACACTTTCCTAGTATGTGCCAGACTCTAGATTCTACCCACAACAACACTAAATAAAAGTCAAAGATGTCAGCCAACATCTCATTGTACCTAATCCTAGAGAGGCCGACACTATGCTGCTTTCAGTCAACAGAGTCAAAATGGAGCCTAATAAATCAATTAAATACGGCCAGAAGGAGCCTTGGAAATGTGGTATCATTAATATCATGCCATGTATTAAGAAGTCTTTTAGTTTGTCCTTCCTACATTATGAAGCAACTGTTTTCAAGACTTCACAGACAAATAATCAATAGACATGTTTACCTTGTCTCCCAGGAGGCATCATTATACATTATCTGCCAGTCGGCTATAGACTCCTCATATTTCTCCACAGTGAGGAAGGTTTCATGGGTCTGAAATACAATTAACACCACTTCTCAAGCACAACACAGTCACAGAGAGATTCGGTCTGCATTGGCTCTCCTCACTACACAGCAACCCACCAATGTCTGCTGTACACATGCATTAGTATTTTACCCAAATTCCTAGGCACATCCCTTTGTGCAGTGTCTTCAGAATAATAGTTTACCCCTTTTAAAAAAGCACAAAAGTTTAAGAATTTTAAAGAAGCATAATTATGGCATTCATAGCAAATTTGAAATTTTAAAATGAAATGAAATTTTAAAGAGACATAAATCAAGACCAAGAGTACAAGCTTCTCTAGTCACCACATAATTGAGGAGAGGAAATGGGATGTCTTCCCACACCACCACCACCCTGCCCCCCCCCCCCACACCGTCTGTCTGTCTCCAGGTAACTGAATTATTAGTTACCATGCTTTCCTAAGTCAAAAAGTTGAAAAAAAAAAAAGCATAAATTGTCCCTGTCCCAGGGTGCTAAAGACACTTCTACAGTGTAATAATATATACCTAGAAACCATACCATAAGCAGAATGTATTTCTACACTGAACAACAGCTACAATAGAGCAACTTGTTTCAGACCAAGAATCCAGCTTCAAATAAAGCAAAGATTTGAATGATATAACAAGCTAGTAAATAAAAAAAAAGCCATAAATCTCCATTGCCATCAAAACTTTTACCCTGCCTCCCTGAAAGATAGGGCTTGAGGGCTGTGGAGATGGGTTAGTCAGTAAAGTGTTTGCTGTGGAAGCATGAGGACCCAAGTTCGGATGCCAGAACCCACGTGTACATGGTAGATGTGCCTATAATCCCAGGACTGGGAGGGTGGAGACAGGTAGGCCCCTGAAGCTCATTGGCTAGTCACCTTAAGACTCCAAGTTCAGTGAGAGGCACTGTCTCAAAAAAATAAGGTAGCAAGCCAATGAGGAAGATAAGCAATGTTGGTCTTTGGCCTCCATTTGAATGCACCCAAAGCACATACGTGTCCACATCTCCATGAACACACCACACACACAGTGTGTGTGTACTTCATCTTTACACTTCACAACCCTTTATGCCTACCATTTACAAGTCTCCAGATAACTTTAATAAATGGATTACTTATTTATATTTTGGTCATGTCATTGTTTAAAACAATTCTCTAATTATTCAACTGGTACATGACATTTAATAAGGAAGTGCTCATAACCACGATGACTAATAAGGAGAGCTGTTTGTGCACATTGAGGACATGGTGGCATTGTGGGGGCCTTAGATGGAGTAAGAGGTGTGATGGTCCCTAATAACTAGGTCTAGAATACTGGTTGGAAAATGTCTAGGTCCCCAAACTATCAGGACAAAACATGTGACCACCTTTTCCCTACTTCTCTACCATAATCTCTTACAGGTATATATTTATTAAAAATTAATCTCTCTGCTACTGAGCTTACTTATATATAAAGTAAGGATAATAAAACAAGCTACTGGAGAGTAGTGAGGATTAAATTAAATGCAGGTAGCAGTATATAAAAAGCATCTAGCTTAATACTTGGAGACAACAATTGCTCAGCAATTAGGGATAATTATGATATGATGCAGGTAATAAAGAGCACTAGAAATTGTTTTGCATGATTTAAGAGTTCTGAGAACTCTCATTACGATGCTGTGAGCATTCTGTTCTTACAGCAGCGGTGATATGAGTACTCTGAGGGTGTCTGCCATGATCCAGCATCTTGATATCTTCAGAAAGTAATGTGATGAGCATGCAGATGTTCTAGTGGAGCTTGACCACAGACTGCCCAAACATTATAACGTTTTTCCCCAAACTTACTGTGATGGTATCATATTGCCAGTTCTATCATGGAGTAACGGCATTTGAATGGAGAGAAATGACACTGCTCATTTGGGAGGAAGGTGTTTTGGATTATAAGTGATTTTGGACCCTAGGAAGAATGACTCAATATAATGGCTACATCCACAGTCAGGGTAGAAAAGTGAACTAAAAACCACGTCTATAGGTCCACTTTCCTCCAAAAATTTCTTCAAATTTTGTTGGGAGTTTGTGGTAGTGCTTTTTACCTTCTTTTATTTTGTTTAGTATTTTTTAAATTTTGTTCATTGATGGTATTGAGCATGTACTGTGAGGGGTGTATGCATGCCACAACACACATGTTGAAGTCAGAGGACAGCTTGTGGAAGCCGTTTCTCTCCTTTCTCCCTGTGGGTTCCTGGGACTGAACTCAGGTTCCTCGGGATTGGTGACTAGCCTCTTTACAAACTGAGTCACTTTACCAGCCAGTTTCCTTAGTTTTTGAGACAAACCCTTGCTGTATAGGACAGGCTGGCGTCCAACCATTGGTTACCTAGTCTGCACTTCCCAGGTTCTGGGATTACAACTGTAGCCACTAAATCTAGTTTGGTTAGATGTTTATAGTCAGAACCTGTATTGTTGTTGTTTATTTGGATACAAGATTATTCTAAGGAAATTGCAGAAGACTACAGTCATTTAATTTCTAGACATGCTATATAAGTGTGTGTAGTTTATTATATATATAGATATATCAAAAAAGCAAAACATAGGACATATTTTGTAACAAATTATTAACAGTAATCAACTCTAAGAAACAGATTTGTTGGGAAGAGAGGCACTTCCATGTTCTATTTTATTAATTTCTATGCTGTTTGTTTTTACATCAGGCATATATTTCTTGTGTCATTTTCTGAGTTAAACATTCTATTATGCCAACAGGAAAATGGCCAATGTAAACTAACATAAGGCACATGGAACAGAACTCTTAGGGCACATACCAGTGTGTGATCACTCTAAAACAGAAGAGACAGGGTCCAGAGTAGCAATGCTGGAGGGGTCAGAAAGGTCCCCGAAAGCAGAGGAAATCACTTCCTTTTTTTTGGCCCTTTCAATAAGTTAATAAACTTAGTAAGTTCTAAATTTAAATGTGTAAGTGGGAATGTCTCTGAATCTGTATCTTCTGGAGAAGCAGTGCGGCCCTGCAGAATTTGTGACTCCGTGAATCTTCCTGTGTGCTGTGTTCCACATTCAATTCCACACTAGCTGTACCCATTGAACATTTTCCCACCTTCCAAAATAAAGTAGGGAAAAAGCCTGATATATTTTTGGATATGTGAGATTCTCCTGTAAAGTGAAGGGAAACTTTAAAAGCGAATTTAAACTGGAAAGACAACAATGCTCACCTGGTTTTCTGCTGAATTCTTTGGGTTAGCGCCTACAAATATAACTTCAACCACTTCTCCCTGGAAATAAAAATGGCACTTAATTAAATCTATTACAAGTCTCTTTGCTGTATTCAGATTTCAAGGATTATCTACTATACATTCTAGAATCCTTGGCATATACATTCCATATACATTCCTGTATACATTCTGCTCTATTTAATTAAGTGATCCCCTTCTAAGTTTGTTGGGAATTGGGACCAAATAATTTTATTTTGGCAGATTCAGATATAAACAAAGATCCAGAGCTATAATTTTCAATGTGATAACACATTAAAATGACTTCAAATTATATCACAGAATCCTATCATGAAACAACAGTCATAGAGACCACAGAGAAATCAGAAGTGGTCCCACATAGTGATAGCCACTCAGTCATTGACAAAGGTGTCACAACATTGACTGGAGAAAAGACAGCCTTGGCAATGATCTCCAATAGCATAAGAAATAAGACCGAACTAACAAATGGCATTGCATGAAATTAGAATATTTTTTAATATTTTTATTTTATAATTAATTTAATTTTACATATCAGCCACGGATTTCCCTGTCCTCCCTCCTCCCACTCCCCAGCCTTCCCCCCAATACACCTCCCATTCCCACCTCCTCCAAGGCAAAGTCTTCCCTGGGGAGTCAGCCCAGCCTGGTAGATTCAGTTGAGGCAGTTCCAGTCCCCTCCTCCCAACACCAAGGCTGAGCAAAGTGTCTCAGCATAGGCCCTGCAACTCACAACTCCAGGGAGGCTACCTAGTAAAAAGGACCCTAAGAAAGACACAGGGATTGCCCAGTGACAGAGAATTGGATGAGATCTACATGAGCAAACTGGGGGTGTGGGGGGAGTAATGGAGGACAAGGGTGGGGGGGGAGAGTTTAGGAAGGTCCCAGCTGGATCAGGAACAGAATGGGAGAACAAGGAAAGAGATACCATGATAAATGAAGACCTCAGGGGAATAGGAAGAAGCAGAGTGCTAGAGAGGTCCCCAGATGCTGTGGGATGGTCTGTATGTCAAATGTGTTGCTGATTGGTCAATAAATAAAACACTGATTGGCCATTGGCTAGGCAGGAAGTATAGGTGGGACAAGGAGGAGAATAAAGCTGGGAAGTGGAAGGCTGAGTCAGAGACACTGCCAGCCACCACGATGACAAACAGCATGTGAAGATGCCGGTAAGCCACGAGCCACGTGGCAAGGTATAGATTTATAGAAATGGATTAATTTAAGCTGTAAGAACTGTTAGCAAGAAGCCTGCCACGGCCATACAGTTTGTAACCAATATAAGTCTCTGTGTTTACTTGGTCGGGTCTGAGCGGCTGTGTGACTGGCAGGTGATAGAGATTTGTCCTGACTGTGGGCCAGGCAGGAAAACTCTAGCTACACCCAGAAATCCACAAAGATACCTCCACTATAGACTACTACTGGCAATGGTCGAGAGAGTACCTGAGCTGACCTACTCTGGTGATCAGATGGCCAAACACCCTAACTGTCATGACAGAACTCTCATCCAGTGACTGATGGAAGCAGATGCAGAGATCCATGGCCAAGCCCCAGGTGGAGCTCCAGGAGTCCCATCGGTGAGAGAGAGAAGGGATTATATAAGCAAGAGATATCGAGACCATGATTGGAAAAAGCACAGGGACAAATAGCCAAACTAGCGGAAACACATGAACTGTGAATCAATAGCTGAAGAGCCCCCATGGAACTGGATCAGGCCCTCTGGATAAGTGAGATAGTTGATTAACTTGAACTGTTTGGGAGGCCCCCAGGCAGTGGGACTGGGACCTGTCCTTGGTGCATGAGCTGGCTGTTTGGAACCTAGAATATTTCTTCTGTACAGCAAAAGAAGCCATCGACAGAGTGAACAGCTATCTATAGGATGTCCCAAATCTTTGCCAACTATATACCTATCTTAGTTTCTTTTCCTATCCCTAAGATAAAATACTCTGACAGAAGCAACCTATGGGAGAAAGGACTTGTTCTGGCTCACAGTTCAGAGGTACAAGTCGAGGCACCACTGAGCTTACTTTCTACATTTTCTTAAAGATTTATTTCATTTTTAATTGTGTGTGTGTGTGTGTGTGTGTGTGTGTGTGTGTGTGTGTGTGTGTGTATCTGCATGAGTGTGGGTGCTTGCTGAGGCCAGATGCCTCAGATACCTCTAGAATTGGAGTTACAAGTGGCTATGAGCCACCGGACATGGGTACTAGGAACCAAACTCATATCCCCTGGAAGAGGAGTGCATACTCTTAAATGCTGAGCCATTGCTTCAACCCTTAGATTTCTCCATTTTATACAGACCTGGATCTCCTTTCCAAAAATGGTCCGGCCGACAACTAAGATTCGCATTGTGTCAAACTGCTTTCTTTTTTTAAATATGTTTTTATTTTATAATTAATTTAATTTTACATATCAGCCACAGATTCCCCTGTCCTCCCTCCTCCCACCTACCTCCTAGCCTTCCCCCCTAATCCACCCCCCATTCCCACCTCTTCCAAGGCAAGGTCCCCCCTGGGGAGTCAGCAGAGCCTGGTACATTCAGTTGAGGCAGGTCCAGTCCCCTCCTCCCTACACCAAGGCTGAGCAAAGTGTCTCAGCATAGGCCCTAGGTTCCAAAAAGCCAGCTCATGCACCAAGGACAGGTCCCGGTCCCACTGCCTGGGGGCCTCCCAAACAGTTCAAGTTAATCAACTGTCTCACTTATCCAGAGGGCCTGGTCCAGTTCCATGGGGGCTCCTCAGCTATTGGTTCATAGTTCATGTGTTTCCACTAGTTTGGCTATTTTTCCCTGTGCTTTTTCCAATCATGGTCTCAATGTCTCTTGCTCATATCATCCCTTCTCTCCTTTGTCAATTGGACTCCTAGAGCTCCACCTGGGGCTTGGCCGTGGATCTCTGCATCTGCTTCCATCAGTCACTGGTTGAGAGTTCTATCATGACAGGGTGTTCGGCCATCTGATTACACTGATGTAAATATGGACAAATGCTTCTCTTAGTTTTAGTAAGAGAAGCCTCTCTATACCATGAAGAGCAGTGAATGCAGATTCTTGCCTGCTCAAGGTGCTGAGACTAAAATATCTGGTTGGGTTCTCAGCCCTGAAAAGAACATTTATATCATTCGGGGAATATTGCAGAAGAATGAGCAGAAAGAATACAAGAGACAGAAGATAGGAAAGAGGGTTGTGAAATGCTCTCTTCCGGGCACGACACTGCTGTTGTAATCATGTACTCACAGCAGCAGCACTGGCCCCACACAAGATTGGACCTATCAAAAGTCAGCCAAGAAAAGGGCGGCTTCTCATGTGGCTCTACCCATCCCTACTAAACCAGGGGCTACTTAGGGATTCTAGGTGATGAGCAGTCGTTATCTTCAGATGTGTACCCACTGGGGTGCCCAAGAGGTTCCGTTGTCTAATTCCATGCCCATGGTCATGCAGATGGTGCAGATTAAACCCAGTGGGACATAAAACAAGACAAAAAGACAAGAACATTGGAAAGGACCTGTAGAAGGGAGGGAGCATCAACCTGAGTGGGAAGGAGGTGAGAAAGGATGGGAAATGAGTAATCAGAATGCATTCTATACCTGTATGAAACAGCCAAATAACTAATTAATTTAAAAAAACTTTCAGAACTATATACCTCAATGGTAAATTTTACTGGGGATTATACCACAGTAGCTTCTCCTAACACACATTTTTAAGGCTTAAAAATAGATAGCTAGATAAATAAATAAATACGTTAAAATCAGAAAAAGAAAAGCTGGATCTTCCAACGTCAATTAACGTAATCAAGATAATTTTCTGCAGGCATACACAGAGGCCCATCTCCCAGGTGACTCTATATTCTTTCAAGTTCGACAATTAGCTCCAGTCATCACAAGATCTAATCATGTACTCCTATCTAGACTCTATAGAAGGATTCCAGAAATTAAATCCCCAAAGCAAATAATCTAATCAATAAATGAGCTAATGAATGGAACAGAACATTCTGAAAGGAAAAAAGACAAATGTCTTAGTGGTATTGTCTTCAAGTCCTCAACATCACCAGTTGTTAGGGACATACAGTTTAAGACAACATTGAGATTTTATCTCATGCCTGTTTGGACTGGCTACCATCAACCAAACCAGCAACACCCACTGCTGGTAAGGATGGGGGACAGAGAAACCCTTCTTACCTGGTGTTATAGATGTACACTTAGGCAGCCAGTATGTAAGTCAGTACTGAGGCCACTCAAAGACTAAAGCTAGAACTATGAGATGATCCGGATTTACCACCCTGGACATACAGATGAAGGATTCCAAGTCAGCATATGTCCCAGTTTGCTTCTCTATTGCTGTGTTAAAACACTGATCAAAAACTACCTGGTAAAGAAAGTTTATTGGGCCTCTACTTCTACTTCACTGTCCCTCATTGAGGCAATTCAGAGCAGAAACTCAAAGTAGCAACCTGAAGTCTGGAACTGACGCAGAGGCCATGGAGGAGTCATGCTTGCTCCCCATGGCTCGCTCAGCCTGCTTTCATATATGGCATCACCCTCAGTGGGCTCCCTCCACATCAATCATTAATCAAGAAAATGCCCGCACAGATACACCCAGATACCAGTCCTTGGAGGGAAATTCCTCAGTTGAGATTTCCTCTTCCTGGGTGACTCCAGTTTGTGTCAGTGTGACAGAAACTAACCAGCACAGCATACCAGAAAAATATTTGCATATCTATATTTATTATAGGACTATGGAAATGTTCACTAGGAAACCATCCAACATGTTTATTAACATATGAACAGGTAAAGAAAATGTAGCACAATAGGATTTTATGAAGGACAATTAAATTAGCAGGAAATGTAATAGAGCTGGTGATCACTGAGTTAAAAAAAAGAGGCAAGACTCAGGAAAACAAATACTGCATGCTGTGCCTCACATGTAAATACATATATGATATTGTGATATGAAAGTAGAAAAATCTATGGGACTTAAAATAGATGTGAGCTAGGTTTCTTTGTGACATTGTGATAAGTATATATACTTAATGTTTGTTTCTGTTCACCTCCACAATTCCCTGTTCCCCACCTCCTCCTATTGCTGACCACTTCTTTCTAAATAGTCCTGCTTCTGCTTTGATGAAATGTATATTCTATTACCCCCCCTTGTTCCCATTTCAATCCTCCCTTCAGACCTCTTTCTCTGGATTTCTTTGGATGCTAACAAAAATATTAAAAAAACCAAATTTGTACAACACAGAAATAGACAAAAATCCTCATCACCGGGCTCCATGTTTATCTAAACTCTGTCTAATCACAGGCCACAGAAGCTTTTGTTCTTCACACCAGCCCCAGCTCGGGTGTTTCATCTCATGAATATTTTGTTGCATCAGCTTGGTTGGGATTGAGACTGTGGTTGGACATTGGAATATGATTCCCAAGGCACTTAGCATAGAGACACATTAGCCTAATGAGGAAGTCGACAAGCTCTAACAGGAGATCAGCAAGACAAGCCAAGGGTCATGATTTATCTCAGCTCTTATGAGAAAAAGCAAGTTTGAGGAGACTTAAGGGAGGGAAGTGCAAAAAAGAAATATATATATATACATATATATATATAGTAAAAATATAAAAATGTAATCCATTTCTTTATATGTTAACCAAAAAAACATAAAATTATTATTATTATTATTATTATTATTATTATTATTATTATATAAAAATATTATTATTAAAAGAAGATGAATATACATAAATATATAATATACAATATGTATGGTCTTCAAGCAGAAAGGGGACTATGTTGGGGTAAGGAATATGTCTAAAGTGGGGGCAGAGGTGAGGCGAGGGTAATGGGGTTGATAAACATGGCCTGTTTTCTCTGGATTTAAACATATATACATAGGAGATGAAAACAGGCAGGGATCTTATAGTGAGAATAAGGGGACCAGCAGGAGGGGGCACAGGGGAAGCCAAGCAGAGGAGCAACTCTAGCTTCCCCGGATGATGGGTGTCAAGCTGTAAGATGAAATAAACCCTTTCCTCCCCAACTTGCTTTTGGCCATGGTGTTTTATCACAGCAATAGAAACTCTAACTAAGATAACATGTATGAAAATGCCCCGATGAAACGCATTATTCCTTGTGCAAACTAAAAACTTTAATTAAAAAAAAAGTTGGCCAGGAAGAAAAGCCCAAGTCCATTGGCTTTTGCAGCTAGATCTGAGTGAATAATAGTCAAAGAATCCTGGTTCATATCCTTTGTATAGTTTTCCAGAAAACACAAGAGGAGACACCTCCCTACTCATTCTTTATAACCTTGACACCAGAAGCCAAGAAACAGGTAAAAAACCAATCCTCCTGGGCATAGGTCTAACACTCCAGAACAGTGTGCCAGCAAAGCAGACAGCACATAGATTAGTCACCAGTAGCAGCAGGCTTTAATATCTGAAAACTAGTTAATACGGTGTAGCATATTAATAGACTGAATTTAAGAAAAGCACATGGTCACTTCAGTAACACAGAAAAGCACTCTCACACACACAAAAAAAATCCCACATCTACTGCCAGGAAAGTCTCCCTGTATACTAAGTACGAATGAATACTGTCTTGACCTGAATCAAGTTGTCTCCTAAAATCCTGACAAATGTCACATTAATAGGGATACAGAGAGTTTGCAGTTAAGAGCAATTCCTGCTCTTACGGAGGACTCACGTTTGATGGTTCACGGCCACCTATAACTCTAGCTCCAAGATGTCATCACCCGCTTCTGTCATCTATGGGTACCCACACACATGTAGCATACACTCACACAGACACACACACACACACACACACACACACACACACACACACACACACACAAATACATACATACATACATACATAAATACATAAATAGGGGAACTCTGAATACTTGTCTCCTAAGATCAGAAACAAGCCATGAATGGCTACCAAGTTTCACAAATCCTAATCCAGAATTGTTGTGGTGTAAATGTGATGTGTCCTCCCTCCCACAGTGGTTACTGAATTGAAGGTTGGAATTCCAGGGATTATAACTGTTCAGAGATGATGGGAGTATGAGGCTACTAATGTCATCAATGGGTTTATCCATTTTTATCCACTATGAACCTATATTGAATGGGTTATTAAGCGGTGGGACCTGGCTGAGAAAGCAGGTCACTTGGAGCTTACTTTTGAAGGCTTTATCTTGTCCCTGGCCAATCCCTGTGTTTCTCTATACTTCCCAGACACTGTGAGGTGAGAAGATTTCCCCTGCCACTCCTTTCCTTCATGATGCTCTACCTCACCACACATATGCCCAGGGCAATGAGCCCAGGGGCACAGTTTGAAACCTCCAAAACTGTGAACCAAACTAAATCCTCTCCACAGCTGTGATGTTGAACTCTCACCACCCACTCGGTAAGATTAGAATCACCCAGGAAACACATGCCTGCGGTCTCTATGAAGAAGTTCCGGAGAGGGTTAATTGGCAATGGAAGACTCACCCTAATGTGAGTGGCAACTATCCCATGGACTAGAGACTAGATTGAATAAAAAGGAAAAAAAGTGAATAGAACACCAGTGTTTGCCTCTCTGTTGTGACTATGGAGGCAGTGTGACCAGCTGCATCACACACCTGCTGCCATGGCTTCCCTACCATGATGGATTGCATCCTCCACGTGTGAGCCAAAAACATGCTCTTCCATCCTTGGGCTGTTCTCATCAGATATGCTGTCGGAGCGGTGAGAAAACTAACTGACATGGCTGTCTTCAATTGCTTTCTCAGCTTCTTTATCACAGCGATAAGAACTAACACTTCATTCTAGAACATTCAGTAATTAATGAAGCATGACTATGAAGCTTAGTCATGCTTCACTAGGAAAAAGAGAAATCTAGAAATGAATAAGTAAAGTTATTTCATTTGCTGATTATGTAACAAGTGTAGAACTCCCTGAGGAATTCATAACAAAAAAAAAGAACCTTTCAGAATTAATACATTTTCCAGCAAGGATGCAGAGCACAAAATCAACATAAAAAAATGTAGTGGTGCAGATCCTGGTTCAGGTCTGTGCGCTTTTCCATCCCTTGATCTAGAGGACAACCTGGCCCAACTCCTGTGCACAGTTCTTTGACCATCTATTTAATAAAAAGAATCATTTGCATTTTAGAAATTCAGTTTTTTCTGTAGTTAACTGCGGGGGGGGAGGGTGGGAAACCAGTGTTTCCCATTCCTCTTGCTTTTGCAGAACCTCTGTAGAGATGGAAATAGATGTCAACATCACCATTGCTGAAGCTAGCCTGTGGTACTGTCAACATCATTACTGCTGAAGCTAGCCTGTGGTACTGTCAACATCATCATTGCTGAAGCCAGCCTGTGGTACTGTCAACATCATCATTGTTGAAGCTAGCCTGTGGTACTGTCAACATCATCATTGTTGAAGCTAGCCTGTGGTACTGTCAACATCATTACTGCTGAAGCTAGCCTGTGGTACTGTCAACATCATCATTGTTGAAGCTAGCCTGTGGTACTGTCAACATCATCATTGTTGAAGCTAGCCTGTGGTACTGTCAACATCATCATTGCTGAAGCAACAATGTGGTACCACTAGAGGCAGGTGGTGATGTCAAGCGACATCTTTCCTTTCACCTCCAGAAGCAAATTCCTAAACACTTGGAAATGTTCCTGTGAGTCTTACCACTCTGTATTCAGGTTTTGCTGGCTGCAGGACTTCTCCAAATTGTCTGCCTATTGGTGGTCTATCCGCAATATTAGGGATAAGTGTAGCTATCAGGTTTGTGAAGAATGGAGGCTCCGGGCCGCTGCTCATGTTGGCTACTGTGTCCTGAAACAGAGAGCATTTGTTAAAGAAATGCACAATGGACATTAAGTGAGATTCCCTACCCGCATTCACATCCTAAGAAATGTCCTCATTAAAGGAGGTTCACACACATCTACACACAGGCACTCCAAAAAGCTAACAATATTTAGCCAAATGTGAAGCACCCTTGCTAAAATGAGAGCCTAAATGTTCATTAGTTTTTTGTTAAAAGTTTTTGTTGAAGGTAATTGCTTTGCTTGACTGGCTGGTATAATTCAGAGATCAGAAAGCACACATGGAAGCATACTATAATAGTTAGATTCTGGGCAGCCATTACTTTTCACTGTGTGGCTCAGGGTAGGTATGTATCACACATTATAACTTCATGGAGGATACTGTAATTATGCTTAAAATTTTCAGTATTGAGTCTGATGAATGTGTTTATATATGTTCTGGCATGTATGTGCATGTATGTCAGAGGTCAACACCAAATGTCATTCCTATTCAGGTACCACCTACCTCGATTGTTGTGACAAGTGTCTCTCATTAATTTAGCTAAATAGCTTGTAAGCAAGCCTAGGGGATCCTCCTGTCTCTATCTGACCAGTACTGGGATTATAAGCACACAGTGCAGTGCCCAGCTTTTCTGTTCAGGTGCTGAAGATCGACCTTGGATCATCATGCTTGCAAGCATGAGCTATTTCTCTGCTTCTAAGATGTTACTTTGGTTGGTTGATAGGTTGTTTGGTTGTTTGGTAGGTTAGTTGGTAGTGTTTTTTTTTTAAAGTGGTCTTATCAATGCAACTTGGGCTTACCTAGAACTTGCTCCATAGCCCAGGCTGTCCTGAACTCACGATTCATCTACCCTAGTAGCCTGAGTGCCAGGATTACAGGCAAGTAACAATATGCTTGGTTCAAACTGTGGGTAATCTTTTGCCCAAAGTCACCACTAAGAGTCTCTCCTGGTCCCAAATCTCTGCTAAATAATATAATAAATATATCTTTATTTAAAATTTAAGATTAGCCTGTATCCTGACTGATATAATGTTTTCCACAAAATTCACCAACTTTAATGGGAGAATCAGAAATAATTATCTCATTGTTCAATAGCCCTTGATGTATCTTTAATGTTCTTTAGCCCTTACATTGGATTATTAGTTTTTATGGCAGCACATGGTGTGGGGGGATGCATTATCACTCTTACTCTGCAAACAAGAAGACAGGATTAAATACACTCAGTTGTATTTCAAGATCACATCGTTAGTCTTAAAACAAGTGACCATAATGTAGACCAAGAACCAAGTGTTCACTAAATAAACAAAGGACTAAGTCTAAAACACAGAGGGACACTATGATTTAAAAAATTGAGTAAGCAAAGTATGTTCAAGTCCCCAGATTGTATTAAAATTTCAAATACAATAGGCAGCTCAAGGCAGAGGTGTATGAAATTGTCATTGTTGGTCTACAGCATGTAGGTCTCATCTGTTTCAATCCAGTACATCCACACTCTTTCCTTAAAGGGTTTATTGTACTTACTATGCCTCAACTTCACAGCTTTTACTATTATAAGGCTATTATGGGGCAAGTAATATACTTACAATTATAAAGCTTACATGTATTATATACAGATCTGTTTATTACTTTAAGGTCTTTGTTTCACTTGTCAACTAATTATCTGTACCACAACTGCAGCTTTATAAATAAGTGTATCCTCGAGGGACTTTTCCATGCTAAGGAACTTTAAATCAAGTGTACACATTTCACAAACACATATGTACTTGCCAAGGCAATACTAGAGTTCAACAAACCTAAGCCTCCATTCATCACAAGAATTTATACTACTTTGAACCACCAAGAAATTTAAAATGCTACTAGTTATAAGGGTAAGATTCCTCTGATTGGAAGATGTACCTCAATTTCAGAGATGTTATAATGAAGAAAATGAGCATCTCAAACATTCTGTAACTGTGTGGTCCACTCAACTCTCTGACTGGCAGGAGAAAATCTGGAAAGTGAATGCTGGCTGTAGTTATAGTACAGATGGCCACTTACTACCTTCCAGAAATGTTTGCCATCTAAAAACATGGAGAAAAATAATATCTCCATATTTCAAAGGATATTTTCATATTTATATGATTAGATAGATAGATAGATAGATAGATAGATAGATAGATAGATATGAAAGACTGCCACCACTAAATGGTAGTAATTAAACTTGAGTTTTGCTGTCAGTAAACTTTGAATTATTTTCTTAGTGATACCAAGTGTTCCAGTTTTCTTTCCTAAGGAAAACTGCATATAATATAAAATTTGTTAAATAACATGTATCTAAGCTTTCTTGATTCTGTGTCTCTTTCTCCTGAAGACAAACACACACACACACACACACACACACACACACACACACACACACACACACACACTTGATTTGATTACCGTAGCAATTGCCTTAGCAAGGTCTCTGAAGAGCTGGATGTATGCAGACAGAGTGTGTGGTCCATAAATTGTAGATGCTGCCTCATACCTCTGAGCCTGCAGGAAAAGTGAGAAGTACAGACAGTTTTGTATACATCAGTCCATTCATAGAAGCATAGCATTTTCAGCAAAGTGATGTCCGGACCACTCACATAATTCAATACCAGCAAACACTCAGAGATTTTTGTGAAAACAGAATGTGAGCATTTCCCACTAACCAGCCAAAGTGAATGGCTGAGTCTGATCCTTGTAAAGGCAGTGGGTTCTTTCTGCTTATGCCATTTAGGCCACCATTTCTTTTACTCTGAAAGATGTTACAGGCTCCCACCTCTCATGCCCGTGTCTGTTGTAAGTTCTTGCAATATTAGTGATCTCCCCAGGCTGAACATCAGGAAAGAAAATGAGAGTAGAATAACTTCCAGATAAGTTGGCTGCTAACGGTCTCCTCTGTGGAAGGACTTCTACCTCACCCCAGAGCTATGAAATAGAGCCAAATGCATCTCAGCATCTCATTATGAGCTCCCCGACTTGGATGACCATACAGGAACCTCAGGGCCATCAGTGCACAGGGTCCTCATCACCCTGGAAACAGCAGCTTTTCCCGAAGTGTTCTGTGTGCCACCCTTCCGGTATCTATAGTGATCAGTTGGCAGTCATCTTAGACCCCCTCTTTCTCCCTCGCCCCACATTCAGCAGATTGTGTCTTAAAACTTTCTCAAGGTGTTCTGTTTTCCTTTCCACCCAGCCCTACCTCTCTGCACACCTTCATCTCTCACCCAGACCTTAACTTTAGGGTGTAATCAATTCTGTCTCCACATATGCCCATCCTGCCGTCCCAACGACATTCCTAAGGGTATCACAGGATGAATCAAAGAACTCTCTCCAAAGCCTTCTTTTCAAAGTCAATACTCCACTATACTGCACAAAGAACTCTTCCCTCTACTCACCTGCCTCCCACTCTAGCCCTCACCTCACCATCACCACCATCACACTCTACAGACTCAGTTAATTATAGCTAATTAATGGGCGATGTCTACTCTCTGGACTTTTGTGCACATGCCTGCTCTATATAGAAGACATTCCTAATTTTTTATTTGCTTACTGACTCAAATGTGTTGTCAATAACTCAGACAAATGTCTGCTGGTCTTCATCTTTTGTTTTAAATATTTAGTTAGTTCATTGGTCACCGTGTGTGTCTGTGTCTGTGTGTGTGTGCATGCACACATGTGCACCACATGCATGTAAGAGCTTGAGGAAGTCAGTAAAAGAGGGCATTAGATCACCTAGAACTGGAGTTACATGGTGCTTGTAAGCATCCATGTTGGTGCTAGGAACCAAACCTGGGTATTCCACCCTTAAGTGCTCCTAACTACGGAGCTGTCTCTTCAGCCCCCAGTTCCCATCTTCATCTACTTTCTCCTCTATCTCTAATGGTACATCAGGGAAGAAGTGGCGTCTTTTTATTATCGTGTCTCTGGAGAATGACTATCAAAATATCTATCTTACAAGTCAATGAAATGAGTCAAGAGTAAACTTCGCAAAAACGTAATCCTAGACAAGGAAACAGGCTAGCAGGGATTCCCAACTTTGCTTGAGCCACGGACTTCTTTGGAAGTTTATTGTGGAACACATGTTAGAATAATGGTTCTGAGTGCATAAAACAAAATACTTGAGACAAATTAGAAAAAAAATTTAAAAAACAAATTAGACTGGAATGCCTTTATCAGCTTACAGTAACCAATTTTACCAAATAATAACATGTACTTCTCTTTTACCCTATCAGATAATATGATGAAGGTAGACCTAGTAGTTCCTGTAATTTTCACATAAGAAAAGGAATCAAAGATATTTCCGGATCTGTAAGAACTGTGTGACAAAGTGGGGTTGGGGGTGAGTAGTTGTAAGGTTGGTCAGCCCACTGGCTTTCCTCCATCCTCACCACCAGGGTGAGCTCTCAAGTGTTGCCCCAGTTAGTTCACACTATGCAACAAGGAGCAAGGGGTGGGGCCGGTTCTCCTGCTTTCATGCCCTCAGGGCTGGCTCACCTACACTTACATCACCAGGGGCCAGATCTCTCAAACTCACATTCTCAGGGTCAGCTCGCCTGCGCCCCAGTCAGCAGACTAAGCCCTATGCTACCCAGGCAAGGTGGGGGCCTGCTTTCCTGAGTCCTGCAGCTGGTAAGGGGGATGGGAGGTTAGCTCCTTTGTCTGCAAGGTGGTGGTGATGGTGAAGGAAAGATGCCCCCTCCTCGCTCTGACACCTGTGGCAGTTGGGAGAGCTGTCCCAGAGGTCATAAGAGTGGAAAAGCTATCCCTGTACCTCACCAGCAGCAACACTCAGGAAAATAACCCCCATACCTCACCTGGGCAACACAGTAGAGCTGGCCTTGGTGGTATAGGTATGGGTGAGCCAGCCCTGAGAGCATGAAAGCAAGAGAACTGTCCTTACCCCTTGCTCCTTGCCGCATAGGGTGAACTATGCCCTGCATAGTCAGGGCAATGCTTGAGAGCTCACCCTGGTGGTGAGGACGTGGAAGAACTGGCAGGCTGACCAACCCAGCAAAAATCCAGGCCCAGAACCAGGGCTATGAGTTGACCCACCCCAATATCCACCTCATCTATGATCTACTGGAGCACATGAAGGAGCAGGTCCTGCAGATCGAAAGCTACAGGATCTCCATGACACAGGACAATAACAGGATAGAGGAGTCTTGGTGAGGGCCCAGCATCTATAGTGTGGTAGAAACCAGAGTCCTCAAACCAAACTAATGACTCTTTGCAATGAACACTTGAAAGTAAAGATACATGGATTAAAGTGTGTGACTCAAAGTGACACACTACAGCTTCCAGGATGAAATTTTTCTTTTTTTCTCTTTTGTCTTTTCTCTTAAATTTTATTTCATTTTACTTTTGGGGGGGAGTTGCAAGGGCAGAGGGCAGATACAAAGGGATGGAGATATGAATGGGATCAAGATGAGAAAGACACAAAGAATGAATAATGAAACTACTGTCGTTTGTTGAAGGGAACACTAAATAGCAAAAAAAAAAATAATTTTTTTCAACTGTTTCTAACCCCAATTAAGAACTTTTACCTAATAATACTATTTACCCAATAATACTATTATTATTACCAATAATACTAATGTTATGGACTGAAGCCTCTAAAAACTGCAAGCCAACATTAGCCCTTTCTCTTTATAAGCTTTGTCTCAGACAGCTATAATGGTGGGAAGCTGACTAATACAAATAAGATTTCTAGAAGCTAGAATCCTCAGCAATGTCAACAGAGGGCAGCAGGACAGATTAGAATTCTTATATCACTAAATATTTGCTATGAGATGGCTCTATGCTCCATCATATGCCAGAAGATCTATTCATAATCTTAATTGTGGGACTCTAGGCTATTATTATATTTAACTAATTATTGTGCTTTTTAAAAAGTACCTGGGCTACTTTCAGAACTATATAGAAAAAAGAAGTATTGTAGTCACCAACTTATTCTCTTAGAATTCCCACCTAAAACCAAGTCACCTCTCAGAAACATGGCTGAAGAAGTCCAGAAAGAAAGTGTAATGAAAAAGCCATGAGAACTTTTGACTTTACCTGGTATTCTTCATATGTGGTGATGTAATGTGTGTAAACATTGCATAGACCCGAAATAACAACAGTCATATTCTTCATCCCATAAGATTCAAATTCCTAGGAGGGAAAAAGGAAAGACTTACACCTCTTAAGTCCGAGCTCTGCTTAAGGTGCACATTGCTATGAGTTGTTAACAGAAGTTGCATCTCTTAAGAAAAATCTTCCCAATGACCAAAACCACCAAAGGTAGACATGTCAAAGAGTACTTTGGAAATTAGACCTAATCCCCATTACAGTTGGGCAAATCAATGGCTCTATGAAAAAATCTTAATAATCACATCAGCAAGAACAGACTCTTATTATTAAAAAAGTGATTACCTCAAAACTATATTGAGTTTATATTACATAATTCAAACAGATGTTATTAGACCTAACTAACAAGACAAGACATTTATTAATCTATCATTTTGCAACTATTCTCAATACATCCTGAATCTGAAGAAAATACAGGGAAAAAACAAAATTCCCCTAATGTGATGGTTTTATTTAGACCATTCATGTGGTTCTAAGCAACTTCTAGATATAGTTTACTGTTTATGTCATACAAGCATTATCAATTTTTAGTTGTTTAAATGTAAAGGCCAATAAAATACTTTAATCCGGTTATAACTCCCTTGCTGACATTTCATATTTATCTCTAACCACTACTTTCAAGAAGTGTAAACTTTAGTCATTTTAGGAAAGACTAATTCAATAGGGAATTTCTTCCTCTTCAGGTACAAATGTGCAGGCATTGTATTTCATACTTAACTTACTTTTTTAACTGCCTCTCGAAATCTTCGTCCTGACATAGTTCTGAGGCAAGAGAACAGAATTATGTAAACATCCTCCCATTTGGAATGTATGGGAACTATTCAGAAAGGCTTTTAGTAAATGCCAACAAATTTTAGCCTAGCTAACCCATAGCAGTAAATATGTAGGGAGTCAAGAGTGTTTAAAAAAAAAGAGCTTAGCTTTTTCCCTTGGCTGGCCTAGCTTCAAAGCAACTCCTAAACACAATTGGACCAACGAGGAAAATGAAATCAATGAACAACACTGAGAGAAGAAGACCATCAAGGATTGGGGTGTGGATCGATGGTGGAGTATTTTCCTGACAGGTACAAGGCCCAGGGCTCCACCTCTGATGCCACAAAAAATGACAACATCATTTTCTATTCATGGGTTCAACATAAAGGGTTAGTTGCATCCTACATGAATAAGAGCTGTGGCAGAGAGAAAGTCTGATGCCTGGCCCCACCTACAAAGAACCTGTCCTTTCATTTCTATATTTAATCCTTCAATATACTCTTGAATATCTGCCGCCTACCAGGCCCACTCTCACATGCTAACGGTTTAGTGGAATGGAACTTACACTCCAAGGATGGAAGGTGACCACCAAATAAGTGAGAAAGTGAGATGAAGATAAGCAGAGACTAATAAAGCAGAGTAAGGGTGAAAGGGAGTAGTGGGAGTCATGGTGGTAGTACTGGTGCTGATGCTGGCGCCAGTGCTGATGTGAGATTGACAGGGTTGGTCATTGTTGATAAAGATGATTTTATGTAATGTGAATAGAATTTGCATCTCTATTAGAGATTTGAGCAGAGGATTAAAAAATGCTAAAAGAGTTGGCAGTGAAACTAACTGAAGAGAATGTGTTTCATACAGAAAGAACGATAAATTCAAAGTCCCTGAATCCATAATATTCTTAGTGGACCTAGCAAGTGCATTTGTAGTTCTGTCTATACAGAAAACCTTGACAATGATGCAGGATGGCTGAAGCAGGACGAGATAGAAGGAAAGTCAAAAGATACCACACCAGGGAGCTTGCTGAGATTCAGATTGTGTGGGAACTTGAAGGAAATCGGAATGATCTGAGGGAATACCTGGAATAAGACGGGAAAGGATTGAGAGGTTTTGAACAGAGAAATGGTGTGTTGAATTCACATTTTAAAGCAGTGGTTCTCAACCCGTGGATCACAACCTCTGTCTCCAAAAATATTTACATTATGATTCATAACATTAGCAGTTATGAAGTAAATATGAAATATGAAAGAAAATAATTTTATGGTTGGGGGCCACCACAACATGAGCAATTGTATTAAAGGGTCACAGCATCAGGAAGGTTAAGGACCACATTGAATGCGATTGACTGTTGTATTGAGAATGGACTACAGAGGAATAATGGAGGAACACAAATGGAGGTCTAAAATAATCTGAGGGAATGATGGCAATGATGGGGAATGATGGCAATGATGGGGAATGATGGCAATGATGGGGAATGATAGCAATGATGGAGAATGATGGCAATGATGATGGGGAATGATAGCAATGATGATGGGGAATGATAGCAATGATGGGGAATGATGGCAATGATTGGGAATGATGGCAATGATGATGGGGAATGATGGCAATGATGATGGGGAATGATAGCAATGATGGGGAATGATGGCAATGATGGGGAATGATGGCAATGATTGGGAATGATGGCAATGATGATGGGGAATGATGGCAATGATGATGGGGAATGATAGCAATGATGGGGAATGATGGCAATGATGGGGAATGATAGCAATGATGGAGAATGATGGCAATGATGATGGGGAATGATAGCAATGATGATGGGGAATGATAGCAATGATGGGGAATGATGGCAATGATGGGGAATGATGGCAATGATTGGGAATGATGGCAATGATGATGGGGAATGATGGCAATGATGGGGAATGATGGCAATGATGATGGGGAATGATGGCAATCATGGGGAATGAGCAATGATGGGGAATGATGGCAATGATGGGGAATGATGGCAATGATGATGGGGAATGATGGCAATGATGGGGAATGATGGCAATGATGATGGGGAATGATGGCAATGATGATGGGGAATGATGGCAATGATGATGGGGAATGATAGCAATGATGGGGAATGATGGCAATGATGGGGAATGATAGCAATGATGGAGAATGATGGCAATGATGATGGGGAATGATAGCAATGATGATGGGGAATGATGGCAATGATGGGGAATGATGGCAATGATGGGGAATGATGGCAATGATTGGGAATGATGGCAATGAAGGGGAATGATGGCAATGATTGGGAATGATGGCAATGATGATGGGGAATGATGGCAATGATGGGGAATGAGCAATGATGGGGAATGATGGCAATGATGGGGAATGATGGCAATGATGATGGGGAATGATGGCAATGATGGGGAATGATGGCAATGATGGGGAATGGTGGCAATAATGGAGAATGATAGCATGTGTTGTGTAGGATGTAAGAATTGAATGAATTCTTGAAAGAGGAAAAAAGAAAATTCAAGGACTGTTTCAACAAACTTCCCATTATGGAGATTGGAAAGATTGTAAAAGACTGAGGCTTACATCATTCTTCAGTCTTCTCAAGATCTAAACTGGTGCTTTCAAGTCCTTTACTCTCATTTCAAGTCTCTGTGCTCACACACTTCACTGCACATTTTACCTTTGGAATGCCAAGTTTGTGAATTTTTCCCCATCTTTTTCACAGGTAATAAGTAAGCATAGACATATTTATCTTCAGAGGCCCCACCAAATGAGGAAAAGTTATTTGTCACTGTTGCCAAACACAGTATAACAAGCTACCAAGAGATCAGCAGAGAACTATCTTCCCCGAAGAATCAATCCCAGGGCCATCGAGATGCCTCAGTAGGCAAAGGTGCTTACCACCAATCTCAATAACCCGATTTCTGTCTCCAGAACTAAAATGGTGAAGGGAGAAAACTGACTCATGCAACCTGTCCTCTGACTTCCACAGGTATGTCATGGCCTACATGCCCCTCCCACAAACACACAACAGATAAATAAATGATTCTAAAAAGAATTAATCCCAACAGAAATACATATTTTTTATTATGAAACTTTTTATAAAGAACTTACGTAAACTCCCCAGGGATAGCAGCGATGGCCAGTGACCCAAGAGTAACAATCTGAACATCAACTATATCTGGGTGCCAAGGATGAGGTTTTGTCAGCTGGGACCCCAAAACAAGAAAATTACGTTAGATATAAATTACCCTTTCTATCGTCAACAGTCACATAAGTTCCTTAATTAAATAATTTCAATGTTTGAAGCTAGTTTTGTTTTTCACCACATCACAGGATTCATTTCTGACCATGATGTGACATTAAACACATCGTGTGCATGTTTATGTCCTAGCTCTAGCATATGAATCTCAAATTCAAGCTCCGTTGGTAAGTTCAGGGTGAAATAGCATTTGAAGGAGCTTTGGTGGACTCATCATTATGTGCAGGGTAAATGACTGTCTCCTCAATGGATATACAATACCATTTGTAATAATTTAATGCAATCATTTATGCTTTCACCCTAGTTGTGCTTTAAGTTTAGAACTTGCAAGTCTGGCTTTATCTTCCAAGCGTCCTTGATGAGCATCTGTCCTTTTCCATATTCTGATTAATGGAAGCTATCTCTCCATCCCTTCCTCCCCTCTCTCTCTTACCCTAAGGATTTTAATAGGGTACTACTGGGAAAGCCTACTTTTTAAAAACTTACACTTCAAAAATCATGCTTCTATGAACAATGGGATGACTTTTTAACATTACAAATGCAAAAAAAAATATGTTCTGAAGTAGTGTTAAAAGAAAATTGCTTTATCTGGGCAGTGATGGTTCACGCCTTTAATCCCAGCACTTGAGAGACAGAGGCAGGTGGATCTCTGAGTCTGAGGCCAGCCTGGACTACAGAGTGTGTTCTCGGACAGCCAGAGCTACACAGAGAAACCCTGTCTCAAAAAGGCAACAACAACAAAAAAACCTACTGTAATTAATGATGTTACCAAATAAGCAGCAGGAATTGAGTTGGATCTGCAGCACTCACATTAAAAAACAGGCAATGTGGTGTAGCATGTGCTTGTAATCTGAGCACTGGAAAGAAGAGACAGGAGGATTCCTGGGGCATGCTGGCCAGCCAGTATAGCCTAATTGGTGAGCCCCAGGTCCCAGTGAGAGACCATGTCTCAAAATATAAGGTGTGTAGTCCAGAGGAATAACATCTGAGGTTACCACTGTCTCCACACACACATGTATGCAACCTATACATACAAAGTAAAATAAATAAGTACATGTATAAATAATCAAGTAAATCAATAATGCTGCCTAACATGAGAGAATTGACACTTGAGCATTTCCCTCTATGACCTTGATGCTTTCCTCTATGAAGAACTCTTCATAACCTGCCTCCCTGGAACCTGAATAACATGAATAACATAAGTGCTAGACTTCCTTTTCCATGTTCCAATCCTCTCTTTTTTTCTTAATAATTAAGTAACTTGGTATATTTAATAGTAGCAATTCTTTTGAGTTGGATTTAGCACTCAAACTTTTAATATTAAACATTTCTGTGGGGTGTGGCTGACTGGGAAGACTCTGCAGATAAAGTGCTAGCCACACAAGGCTGAGTTTGATCCCCGGACCCATGTGAAGGTGCAAAAAAGAGAACCAAGTGCACAGACAAACATTCGCACACACATATCATACACACATGCAATAATAGTAAACATGTAACAATAATAAAAAATTACATAAGTGTCTAAATAAGATCTTCCACGTCAGTAGACATTGACCATTTATTATAGCTCAGAAACTACAAAGTATAATATTCTGACTCCATTATGACAATCAATGCCTTACCTCTCCAGTATGAAGTAGGATTGGTTTAGGTTTATGGCATTCTATGATTTCTTCAGATGGTCTGCCCAAGAGCTGGTCCCGAATAGTGTCCCAAAATATATCCCCTTCAGTTGTCCCTATTAGAATTATTATGATTAATAAGATCCCTTGGACTGTCCCTTGAGGATGTCATAATTTGGATAGTATTGCACACATCATTTTAGACATTTCAGGTATTTTGTTAAGGTTGTTATTCAATGGCTTTGACTATCTGAACAATAGAAGGGGAAGTGTTTTCTACATGTCACAAAGTATAATAGCCCTTTATTATAAAAGAATAATAGAATACATTTTGTGTGATATTCTCAGTTTTATTTATATTAACCTTGCTCATTTATGTCATAAATAAAGACAATTTTATACAATCCACATATTTGTGAACTGCATCACTTTTTTTTAATTTTAAAAATTAACAATGATAACTTCAAAATGTAATACCAGCTGTCTGGCGTGTGGGCTAAAATAGTAAAACTTTTAGAATTACAGAGTAAGCCTTCATGATGAATGGTGAATGGGTGTGATGGCAAGCCACTAGTCACAAAAAGGAAACTAATCTCGACATTTGTGTCTCAAAGAATGTAATCAAGAAATTGAAAAGACAACCTATCAAATGAGGGACATTTTTTTCAAATAATTTATCTAAAGAGGGATTTGTATACAAAAACCTGTTTTAGAAAGCCTCATAATTCAATAGTTACAGTCAAAACCCCAAACTTAAGAAAAGTATATGAATAAATAGCTCTCAAAAAATATAAATGATGGCCAATAAACACAAAAAGACATTTGACATTATCAAGCAGATGCAAATCTAAACCACAAGGAGACATCATTTCACATACATGCTGGCTACAATTAGCATGCCAGATAATAAATATTGACCAAGATGTGGAAAAACTAAACAGACACATTGCTGACACAGCCGTTAAACAACGCAGCCATTTTGGAACTCATGTAATAGGACTTCAGATGTTAAGACACAGTTAGCCTATGACCAGCAAGCTCTCTTCTGGATACACACCCAAGAAGAAAACTGCAAACACAGGCCCACACAAACACTTGTACATATGCATCATTATTCATAATGTACAAAAAAGTGGAACAACCCCAAGATCCATCAACTGAGCAATTGGAAAATAACATCTGGTATAATGATACCATGAATTAATTCAGCCATAAAAGGCAATGGAGTGTTTCCACATCTATACCTCCATGTACCTTAACAGCACACTGCTATATAAAAGATGCAACAAAAATCCAGATGTTGTGTGTTCCCATTCATATGAAATATCTAAGGTAGCAAAACGCAGAGATAGGAGGATTATTGGTTGCTTATGCAGTGGCAGAGGAGATGTGACAGCTAGCATATTCAGATTTTCTGCTGGAGTGTTGGAAATTTGAAAGTTGACTTTGGGAAGGTTGTATGTCTGCCAACATATTAAAAACCATCAAATGTACTTTAAATGGCTGACTTATATGGCTTGTCAATTATTTCTCAATAGATAACTGTTATTATTGAGTTCTAAGAGGTTTTCTAAAGAATATTTTACATACAATCCCCATATCAGATATACTATAGGAAACATTTTCTCTCATTTTCACAGTTTCTTTTTTCTCTTTCTTCATTATACTCTTTGCACACTGCCATTACAAAGAAATCCTGACTGCTTAAAGCAGTGGCTAGCCTGGAGTCAGGGAGATGGCTCCGTGAGTAAAGTTCGTGCTTTCAACGTGTAAAGATATGAATTCGGATCCCCAGAACCCATATAAAAAGGCAGGTGCACTGGTACACAGTTGCAATCTCAGCAATGGGGGACTAGGAGGTAGAAATAGGTGGGTCTCTAAAAGCTGGAGGGCTAGCCAGCCTGTCCACATGGCAATTTCCAATCCTATGAGAGACCCTGTCTCTAGCAATGAGTGAAAGGAACCTGAGGTTCAACACCTCTAATCTCTACAAACACACACTGTGCAGACACACACACACTAATGTGTACATGCACACTAATATGCATATAGACATACACACACACACACACACACACACACACACACACACACACACACACACTAAATGCATTACCAAGGTTCATCAATATACTGAAATGCCAAGAGAATTTGTTTCTGCTTGTATTTGAATTAACAAATCTAAGGGACAAGGGACACCTATCCCTGGAGAATCTGAGATGTCACACTCAAGCTTGGCCAGCCTGAAGCCTCCTGAGTTAGAAATGGGAATCATAAACACACTGACCACAGTTAAGCTTCATTAGGAAACAGAAGCCCGAGGCCCCCGAACCTGGAAGCACGCATTCCATCCTCCTCCATCTCACCCTGTGTAATATTGAGGCCCGAAGCTCCGTCAATTGTGCCTGCCGCAAAACTGTAGCCCAGGGCGGGTTTACATGTCTTCACCTGAAGAAAGCATCATAAAACAAAAACAGAGAAACGCAAGTTCAGCAGTAAGTAACAATGGGCTGTGTGCTCTGCCCATGCAACAAGGTCAGCGTCCTCCGTCATACTCACTGCATGTGTGTCATTGAGCAGGACGGTCACATCTGTCATGTTCACCCACTGGTGAGCTGCAAACACTGGTCCAGTCACTTCCTGGGAGGCAGAGTCATGCAGCTCCTAGAAAACCCACATAGGCTCACCATCCCGAGGGAAAGAGCTGAAGAGAAACAAACACTAACACAGACGCCTAGCATCTTCTGCACAGAGACACCTTTCTTCTACTCACTGCTTGAAAATAACCTCACCACCAGCCCTACCCCATAGTTCTCTCATCAATCCCAGTGCTTCCCAGAACCTGAAACCTCCAGGAATGTCGACCTGTGTCTATTCATCCCAAATAAGAACTTAACATGAAACAGACCATGAATGACATAAAGCTCCAACTTCACACTTGCTGGAATGTCAGGCTGCCAGCGGGCAGACTTAGTATAAAGTGCCCTTAGTATAAAGGATTCCCAAGTTTTCTAAGGACAGGAGCCGGTAGTGGATCAAAGACACTGTGTCCATCACACATCAGCTAGTCTTTGGCATTCTTGGTTTTGGAGGGTGTTTTTGGTTTTTGTTTTTTTGTTTTTTTTTTTAATAAAATCAAGTGATTTTTGCCAAGCATATGGGAAATGTAAGTTTAATACTTTTGGAGACATTTGTGCTTCTGCATCTGTGTCGTACAATACAGGAAAATCCTACTTCAGTGGCCCAGGCCACTCCACGACAGCTGTGTGTGGCCTTTTAAGATAGGCAACTGGGGTCTCAACACTAGCCTGCTTCCCCTGATAACCAGGGAAGCTGTGCCTTGCTGTGAAGAGAATCCAGAATCTCTCTGCTCGCAGACCAAGGACAGAAACAAAATTTCTAACACCAAAGTGTGTCACAGGCACACTCTAAAAAGAATCTGTTAACTTAGAATCATCCACTGATAATACCACAGTAAATAAAAAGAAACTACAGCAATTATTCTGCCTGTGGTTATAGATTTTATGTCTGCTATTTTTGAGAGGCATTTTTGTTCTTTTTACCTGCTTCTGAAACATTCTAGAACTCAGAAGGAATTATCTATTTAAACACAAGTAGGCAGGTGTAGATGTGTACGTGTGCACGTGCATACACACACACACACACACACACACACACACACACACACACACACACACACAAAGTATGAGTAAGCCATGAAAACAAGGGGATTTAACACTATCATGGACATATCAGTTAGAAGCCATTTCTCTTTATCATTTCCCCTCAGAAATGGACTCTGTAGAAGCAGATACCAAATGGGGACAGCATAGAAGTCAAAATCTAGCACATCACTGGGGAGATGACTCTGCCATAATGTGTCTGCCATACAAATATGAGGGTAGAGAGGCACACTTCTAGAATGCCAGCAGGGTAGAGAGGCATCTTCTAGAACCCCAGTAGAGTAGAGAGGCACACTTCTAGAACCCAAGTACTAGGGAGACAGAGACAGAAGGGTCCCTGGGGCTGGCTGACCAGTCAGTCTAACCATTTAGTAAGTTCCAAGTTCAATGAGAGACGCCCCCCCCCCCCTCAAATAGCAAGGTGGAGAGAAATTAAGCAAGATTTCCAACCTCAACCCTGGGTCTCCACATTCATGTGTACACCTGCACACATGTGCCTGCACCCTCACACATAAAAGCACACGTCTATACATCCATCCATCAGACACACGAACCAAAAATTTTCGGAGCAGAAGGGAGGTGGAGTCATTCAAAGTAATCCCACTGCAAACCAGATTCTGCCTTCAGCACAAGGAGAAAAGCGATGTGACCTTTGTCTTTTCAAAGAAGCATACAAATAAATAGGAATTCATGGTGCCAGAGATGTTCAGCTCAGCTTGGTCACTGAAGGCTAAGTTCAGAAGAGGTCAGGTACCTTTAGCCAGGCAATGACTTGAGAGATTTCTGAGAACCTACATCAGACTGGTCCTGTGTGAGGCCACATTAACTGAATACTTTACAATATATCTGTCTCCTCAGTTGGAGCTGCACACTCAGGCTTTCTAACATCCTAAAATAGAATGTTTTCCTGCCTGCTTAGTTTTAAATGCACTAGGAAGTCTGACCGGATGAGACAGAGTTCTGCATGGCTCCCAAGGGCAACCTCACAAACCCAAGTCTTTCAGACTTCCTGGCCAGCCTGAGCCCTTGTGGCATTCCTCGCAATTATGGACTTCCTATTAAATGATGCCTGTGGGTTTTAAAAAACAACACAAAGCAGAGATGGAAAGCACTGGGCTCGCACCTACCTTGGCTCTCTGGTAGATGACCCGTCCTATAATTTGTGTGCTGTCAATCATATCTTTCCCAGGTCCGCTGGCCATGCACATGCTAGGCTGGAGCAAAATGAGACAATAGGATCCTTTAGTGTGATGAGTGATGGCTTTAAGAACTGGAAAATTACAACGGAATCTAACCAAATACGCTTGCTAAGCCAATTCTAGCTTTACTCTTGAAACATTTTCTCAATCTACAGGCTAGGGTAAACATAATCATGCATGCCTTTGGAGCAGAGAATGTTTTCAGAATGCATCTATTCCAGTCACTCCTTTTGAAATTAGGAAGCAGAGTTTTGGCTTGGTTGAGAAATTTGATGTATGTTACACAGGAGCTGACTCTGAGCTGTGACTGGAAGGCAGGCCTTACCCTCTGTCACAGCCTCTTTACTTTCTCATGCTTGCCTGGGACTCTGAGTTGCGACTGGAAGACAGGCCTTACCCTCTGTCACTGCCTCTTTACTTCTTCATGCTTGCCTGGGACTCTCACTCTGACTGTCTTACACAGAGACTCATTTAGATTACATTAGAACAATTAGCCTTACTCCTGGGAAGAAAATGAACAACTCCAGCTCTACATCCAGTCTCCTAGATCAGAAAAGCTCAAGATTGACTAAAAACTTAAATATGGTGAATGTCACAAAGAACATAGGGAAAGAAAGTACGAATGAATAAATGTTACAGTCTGAGAAATAAAAAATATTTGAAGCAATAAAAAATAGGCTTAGAAAAATTGACACCTTAAACATTTTAAAGATCTATATAGGAGAGACAATATAAATAAGGCTGATAGAGAATTGACAGACTAAGGAACTTTTGTACTATTCATGACAAATATTTTAAGAATTAATGTATTAAGGACTTGAAGATTTTCCATAGGGAAGAGCATACTGCTTTTACCTATGTAAAGGAGATGAACTCATTATACTCATTTTTTACACATCTTTGCTTGCTCTAACACTATTCATAACAGCTAACATCAACCACAGTGTCCATCAACAGACAACTGGTGTGCATACACAATAGAATGCTTCTTGACTATAAAAAGGGGTGGAATCCCTTCATTTGCAACAATATGCATGGAACTGGAAGTCTTCTGTTCGGTGAAATGACCCAGACACACAAAAGCAAACACCACATACTCTCACTCACTTCTGAAAGCTGAAAAGTTGATCTCATGAAAGAATGGGACTGGGAAGGGCAGAGAGGAAATAGACAGAGAAAAGTTAGGTGAGGGCAGCAAAACAATGCTAGACAGAATTCGTGCTGGGTTTCTGTAGCACAGCAGGGCAACAACTGTTGACATCAATGTTTTTAAAATAATAAGAAAGTTACAAAATTCCAAACATACAAAAACTATGCTTGAAGAGGTGGGTGTGCATATTATCCTAGCATCATTATGCAGATTAACAAATTACTGTAATATAAACTTATCCAAGTATTGCATCTAAATTCGAAAAATAAAAGGAGGAGAATGTCCTTATTAATACCCCTTGATTTATCCATGCTGAGTTGGCATTTCTCTTATTTGGAATAAAAAGCATCATAATGCATATATCATGGATTACAGATGTAAGAGGTAATTCATATTCTCTCTCTCATGTGTGTGTATGTATGTGTGTGTGTGTGTGTGTGTGTGTGTGTGTGTGTGTGTAAATGGACACTCAACATGAGAACATGTTCAATTTCATGAATAATAAAATGAAATTTAACCTAGAGCAAGCTCTTTGCATATTATACCATCAAGAAATCCGAGAGTAATATGTTTGACTTAAATGAAGGTTGGGACAGTAGTCGCTTACATGTAGGTGGGTGGAAAAGCCACTGAGAGGGCAGACAGGACATGAGTAGCATTCATTAGATGTGTTCTCTCTTTAACGGAAAATTTTAAAGTATGTCATGAGTCGGGACTCCTGTACCTGTGCAGATGTGTACGAGGTCAGTGATCAAGCATGCTTACAGGAAGAAAAAGAAGAGAGGAGAAAAGCAAAACACAGAGATAAAGAATGGGTTATCTAAATAATGGTACTTAGAATTGAGCATAAGAATGTTACTTTAGGTATGGCTTAGAACATATTTGTTGGAAATAAGGAAACACATCACAGAAGTGTATGGAAGTGCAGTCCCGTATATATGTCATTGTGCCAGTGTGTGTGATGATACAGAGAGCAAATGCTGTCTACGAGATTGCTTGGAATGAGGGAAGCCAAAAAAAACATAATCAGAAAGCAACAGAATTAAGGAAGAATGAGTCTTCTTGTGATTTTTCTAATTATAAAAGTAAAGTATGCTCATTGTAGGAAAACATGAAAATACAACAGGAAAATGAAAGCTAGCCAGAGCAACATCAACAGAAAAGTCAATAACAACTAAAGATGTGTCATCCTTTATTTTACTATAACATTCATTTTGAAAAATTGGTATTATAATGAATATGTAATATTGAATCCAAATTTATTACTCCACATTGTATAAGCTTTCCCCACATTATCCAGTATTCCAACATTTGATAAATTACTGCATAATAGTCTATTGCAGGTGAGTATAATTTATTTAACCATTTCATTTATGAATTGTGGACTTTAATAAGTAATCTTAAAATGTATGGCAAATTAATTGTGTGACAAATACACAAATGAAGAAAAAGAAATTTGCAGCTAAAAAAAATGACATACATACAATATAACTATTAATCCACATTGCTCACTGAGTAGGCTGGAGGGCAAAAACACAGTGTAACAAAAGTGACAGCACAAAGCGGGTACTTCACAAAGAATAAGAACCAGGATGCCAGCGCCCGCTGCTGTGTGAGAGCTGAAACAGACTGAAATGAACTCTAGGAAAACAGGTAAATAAATAAATGATAAAATAATCTTAATGGCTAACCTTCAAGCTTGCCACATAGATGTAGATATGGAACAATTTCTAAAGGAAATTATGTGGAAAACTTATGCCCTAGAATCCATAAATAAATCATAAAAACTGTTTATGAATGCCTGCACAAACAGAGGAAGAAGAGTGTTTGAATAACAATCTCACTGAGGCTAGAGAAGCAAGTGGCACCTGGTGTCTTGGTTACTCTCCTATTGCTGTGGTAGAACACCATGACCAAGGCAACTTAGAAAGGAGTTTGATTGGATTCACAGTTTATGTAAGAGTTATGGTGGTGGAGTGAGAGCACAAAGGTAGGTGGCTGGAACAGCAGTTGGGAACTCACATCTTAATCCACAAACAGGAGCAGAGGGAAAATCAGGAAATGGCATGAGTCATTTGAAATCTCAAGGCCCACCCCAGTGACAAACCTCCAGAGCCACACCCACTAATCCTTCCCACATAGTTCCACCAACTAGGGACCAAACATTCAAACATATGAACCTGAGGGGACAGTCACATTCAATCACTACACGTAAGGACTTTCAGTTTTTACTACTGTGTGCATCCGTGTTATTTGATGTTTTATAGGAAGACCAATTTTGAATTTTAAAGAGAAAAAAAGAAAATCTATTAAAAGGAAAAAAAAAAAACCTCAGGTTTACAATCTGTAAGAAATGCCATACAGGTAGTTTGGGGTACAAATTTGAAAACTCAAATATTACAAGGTAAAATGTTTTAAGCTGCGCAGGTGAAAGGAAGAAGACACACCCTCTGCGTTTGACATCACAATGGAAAACTGGGATAACCGACGTAAAACTCAGAGAAGTTGGGCAAATGCTTCAGGGGAGAGTGGAGAGTAGAGACCAGCAGGCCAGTGTGTACTTGGAAACAACACATTTGTATATTATTGATGAATATTCAAGCACGAAGTGAGTGTGCCCTTCCTACCTACCCCGCCGACGGGACAGGTGCTTTTTTCATTGTCGCAAGACTCTCCCGTGTTGGCACAATGCGGACCAAAAATGTTTGGGGACACATCTCCGAGATTTGATGAAGCGAAGCCTGCTACAAATGGCCCCTGCCAAAATAAATGCACCATTAGCTTCTATCTTTTTCTTTAATAATGACTTCCATTAAAAACACCAAGAGTCAGTCCACTCATAAACTCCTGTACGAACACACGTGTGGATAAGTGCAGAGGTCAAACTCAGGTATTATTCCTCAGAAGCCTCTCCTCGTCCAGTTGTTGTCTGTTTGTGAGGCACAATCTCTCACAAACTGGCCATTCGCTAATTAGGCAATGCTGGCTGGCCAGTGAGCTCCGGGGATCTACCCATCATTGCCTCTCCAAAACTGAGATTACAAGCATGTCCAAATTTTGGCTTGAATGCTGGATATTTAACTCAGCTACAGGAAGCATTTTACTAACTGAACTATCTCCCCAGCCCTCAAACAAATTCATGTACAGACAGAAAAAGATAAACAATATTCTGAGAACTTTTTATTTTTTTTCTGAACAAAATTTATTTTATTGTATTTATTTTTTATTTTATTTTATTTATTTTCTTTTCTGAACTTTTTTATTTTCTGAAAAGGCTCATGTTGTGGTCAATATTATTATTACTGAAAGTAATCCAATTATCAACAAAAGTTTTCAAAGGAGTCCCTCAAAAACATACTTCCCTCTAACCAAACAATTTGACAAGAAATGCAAAGTGCATTAAGTGACAAAGTGTGGAGCCATCCATCTAGTGTCTGGTGCTTTGCCTGAAGCCCACAAGTCTACTTGCCCTTGACAGTCACTACCTAGGCTGGTCCCCTGTGAGCCCCTCCTTTCCTCAACCAGATTAGAGACAGACCAGGCATCAGTCTGGACCCACCTCATCCACCATTTCCCAATAAACATCTCCAGTTTTTCTAGAGAAAGACATGGATTGATGGCCTTTTTACGTATAAAGGAGAACCTCTTCCCCAAATTGCATGCTAGTACACACTTGGAATCCTGGAAGTTGGGAGGCTAAAGATGGAAGGTCAAAATGCAAGGTTAGCCTAGACTACATAGCAAGGCCTTCTCAAAAACAGAAAAAAAAAAAAGGTGAGGGGAAGGGATGAATGGGAGGAAGAAAGAAAGGGAGGGAGGAAGGGATGGGAGCATGGAGGAAAGAAGGAGAAAAATAAGGCAAAAAATCAGTGCAAGCTAAAAAAGAGAAAAATAGAGTTTTGTCTAAAAAGGAGCTAAAAGATCAGACTGTTTTAAATATGAGGTCACTATCTATATAATGGATCCTTCATTCTCCACCATGGCCTTTGCCTCTCATCATCTTTATTCTTCTACATCAAGTGCTTGCATCCAGTGGCCAAGCAGAGCAGTGTCTCTCCTCCCTTGTCTGTCTGTATCACTAATTACCCAGAGCTTAAGAGGTTCCAGTAGTAAGTCAGTTGACTTCCTGATTTCAGATCTCATTACGAGATGAGTTTCAGGCTCACAGGTGTCATGGATTAGGGTTTCTTCTGGCTTAGACTTTTTTTCAATGTGTATGGGTGCTTTGCCTGTATGTATGTTCGTGCACCATGTGCATGCTAGTTAGTGCCTATGGAGGCCAGAAGATGAGGTTGGATTCCCTGGAACTGGAGTTACAGACAGCTGTGAGCTGCCATGTGGGTTCTGGGAATTGAACTTGGTTCCTCTGGAAAAGCAGCCAGTGCTCTTAACTGCTGAGGCTTCTCCCTAGCCCCTTAGGTTTTATTGGAAAAATAAGGTCCTTGGAAGGAATGTTTTCTTTAGAAAAGCTGAATCAATCAAAAGGTCTAGTCATCTGTCTCCATTCATGGTTCTACTACACTAGGAAGGTGCACAGTACTCTTGGAGCACTAAGAATTAAAGTCAGCGTCAGCGCAGTGAATCATATTACCAGCTTGATCAAAGACTATTACAGACTACAAAAGTAGAGAGCTGACCTTACATAATTGGTTGTAAATTTATGAAGCCATCAATACAAGAAACATCTGCTACCAAGAACAAATGATTCCTTTATTATTTGAAATATTCTTTCCATACTGGGAGAAGATAGATAAATAGACAGAGATCTCGTGTGTGTGTGTGTGTGTGTGTGTGTGTGTGTGTGTGTGTGTGTGTGTGTGTGTGTGGACATGCAGGCATGTGAAAATTTCCCACAGAGGTCAGAAGAGGGGTCAGATCTCCTGAAACTGAAGTCGTAGGTAGTTGTGAGGCTCCTGATATGGGTGCCAGGAACCAAGCCCTGTCCTCTAGAAGAGCAGCAAATACTCTCAACAACTGAGCCCTTTCTCCAGACCAAGTAAATTCTTTCTATTCCAGCCTATTCATGAGGTCAATCAAGATGAAGATCTCAGTGACACTAATTCTCACCTGTCCAGGTAGAAACCCTCTGTTCTTCTCTTGCTCAAACAGGTAAGCTGCGTAGCCCATATTGTCACTATTTACAAAGTGGTTGCTGTTGTTCATGCTGACAGGGTGGATGGCAAACCAGCTGGAAAAGAGAAGAGAGCTCTCAGTTAATCAGGAGAGCCCAAGGTGTGGGCCTAAAGGCGACGTCTTCTCTCAAAGGCTGAAGTCTTTTCCAGCAAATCAAAGTATTTTGTGAGGCTGATCCACTACCTACTGCACCAATGAAGCACATAAAAGTGCCTTCAATTCTAAGCATCCTACATTCAGATTTCTTTACTGTTGATCAAATAAAATTGCAAATAATGTACCTAAGGATTATGATCATCTACTTTAAAAAATACGGAACTCCATTTTCATGAATATTTCATCACCATTATCTTCAGAAAAGCTTTTAACAAGTTCCAAGGGAGGTCAGTTACCAGAGGATAATCCAAATAACTGGATAGACATAGACTTTGTCCTTCAAGACAGACACAAAGATAATAATTATTCAAATCAACCCAACCCAATTCAGTAGACACTCACTGAGGGTTAGCAGTATGCCAAGCATGGAATAAATGGAGGTTTCTCTCAGTATCTTACAGAAGACAGAGATGTGAACAAATGGCCTTAATATAATATGACAAATGATATAAAGAAAGAGGCACAAAGGCTTTTCAGACCACAGATGACAAGCAATTAATTTGAAGGACATTAAAGAGCTAGAAATAGCAGAGTAAGTGCATTAAGGCTTAAGGGAGGATGTTATGCATAATTCAGCATATTCTTATGCATAATAGTACCTTGTTTAAACAATAGATCCATACAATTTACAAACTAATTACAGACCTGCTACTTTATTTCACAATGCTGGTAGGCTGTTTGCCTCCATCTGCATAGGTGACACAGAGAAGCAAAATGATGGCCTATAAGTCATAGAAGACAAGTGTCCTATGACAGCTTGTCTGGAAGCCCTCATAAATCAAACCTTCACACCAGTGAAAGACACTGTTGTTGTGGTTTGAATGTAAAAATTTTTCCCCCAGAGTCACGTGTTTAAAAACTTAGTTCCTAACTGATAGCACTGTCCTGGGAAAGTATAGAACTCTTTGGATATGGGACTTAGCTCACAGATGTAGGGCTGTAGGCACCTCACTTGAAGCCCTCCACTCCTGCTCTGCCATGAACTGAGGCCGCAGCTATCCACTGCTATCCACTGTGTTGTGACTTCCTTGACACGATGGACTGTACTCTGTCAAACTGTGAGCAAACTAAATCATTCCTGAAGTTCTGCCCTTTGGCCATCTTGTCAAAGTGATAGGGAAAGTTAACTAATACAGATGTCTGCTGGATGCAAGGCAGAAAAGCAGATGAACCAAAATTCTCCAGTCAAGAGAAATGTCAATTCGTCGAGTCTCAGGTTAATTTCAGAGTTTTTAAACTCTTGAGGATTCAATCCTATGCTGGAAAACATTTAAACATTTAGTTTATATCACTACCTAAGTGAAAACAGTACACAAAACTAAACATTTATTCAAAGTTTCGGGATGTTTCGGGACTTCGAGATCCACCTAAAGTCCTCCATTCTCATTGCCTGATAGAGGTAGGTTAGGGATGATGGCTTGAAGCTTGCTGCACTAGGCCAGCAACCTAAGGAAAGTTGTTCTGGTTGGTACAATGGGGCCTGGGGTGGGTTACAAAGACCTGGGAGAGTCTGTAGGAACTGAAAGTCTCCAGACAGCGTAAGCCCAGTGATGCTTTACGAGAGGGCAAGCCAATGTGGCCAGCTCTTTCACCACATATACACAAATCTATCTCTGTCTCCGTCTCTGTCTCTCTGTCTCTCTCTGTCTCTCTGTCTCTCTCTCTCTGTGTATGTGTAAAATAGTATATAGAATGTAATATGTGTATATAATAATAGTTGTATAGTAGTAGTTGGCTTTACAATTATTTAGGTAGTAAATAGCACAGAAACAAAATTGTCACATAGTAAAAATATTAAACAATACACATAGTCAAAAATACAGCCCATATACTGTTTTTGTATCCTGACTTAAAACAGATAGGAAAAAAACTTAATTGGGATATCAATATAGCTCAGTGGTAGATCATTTACTTAGCATGTACACGGCCCTAAACTACAAACAAACACACACGCATGCACACTAATTAAGCAAACACATAAATTTCAAAACTTTATCCAATACAGACTGACTATTAAACCCTTTTAATAAATTATTTTTGTTATGACTGCAAGAATGTGGTGCTAGAATCTAGCTGCTACCTCCATAGCTCCCCCCTTTTCAGTTACTGACATATACCCTCAGGGACAGTGTCTGGGAGTCTGAGCTGGACATCTCACCCTGAAGTGACTTTATATCAAGGGGCGACCACATCCTGTTCCCCATCCCTTCCCTACCTCCTGCCAGGGAATCTGAGAGACTGAGTTCAGACCTGGCTGTGAATCCAAGAGAGCTGTAGAAGGAGGCTTTATGCTGTGGCACACAAGCAATGATTCTCTTCAGAGATGCTCCCATGCTGGGCCCTGGCCTATCCTCCAAGTCCGCCATGTTGCTGCATCTCTATCTGTCCATGGCATCGATAACCTTTCCAATAAACTCCTCATTCCCTAGTTATCTGTCTTAGTGTCTCTTGAACCATTCACTACATCCAAAAACCTAGCCATACTGAGTTGTAGTTACCTATTTTTCTAAAACCCATGCCTTTGCTGAATAGAGGTGTACACTGAAATGTTTATGAATGCAATATAAGCTATCTGCTGTTGGCTACAAAATATTCTGTTAGAACAAACACAAACGAGAATGGAAGAATGAAACAGAATGGCAGAATATTGCCATTTATATCAAAGCTGATTATAGCTACACAGAGATTATCATATTAGTGGCTCTAAATTAAACTTCAGTGTAGCTTTTTCCTTTTCATTAAAAAATAATAATAATAACTTGAGATCCTTTTGCCTCAGACTCTCAAGTAGTTCCAAAACTTACTAAATTCAATAAGTTTCTGGACAAATCATCAGTCTGTAAGGATAATTCTGTCCCCAAGATGTCTACTAACCACTGTGCCAAAGTGTAGACACTGAAAACACCCTAAGATCACCCTCTAGAAGCCACTTGCAAGATTCTATGTTTGAGGAAACCCTGCCCTGATCTCTCCCTTCGTCTCCCTTGCCACCCTCCCCTCTCCTCCCTCCTCTCTTCCTTCCCCTCTCTCTCTCCCTCCATCTGTCCCTCCTCTCAGTTTCCATCTTTTTCTTAAAACACAAAATAAATTCAAATCCACCATTTCCCTATTAGGTGGATTTTGCTGTTTTAGCATTTTATTTATTGGATTTGGAAGAAATAAATTAGTGATGGTCACAGCAGGCTCATGGTTTCTCATCCAAAATATTGACATTTGGTCTGCTCACAATGAGGTAAGCCAGATTCTACCACTATACAACTGAAGAAAACACACAGAACAATTCTCTCAATGTTGACTGTGATCTCCTATGTTCTAATAAAAACTTCAAATACATCTTTAGTCAGAAACAATTAATATCTTCATTTTAAAATTAGTAAACTAAGTCTCCGCCTGGCCAAGTTCACAGTCACACATCCAGAAGCAGGACTGTGAACCCAGGTCCCCACTGTGACACACTGGTTCTTTCCCCTCTGTTCATTCCCTGGCTCATTCAAAAGGGGGCATCATCTCGCCTTGGGAAATGCTTCAGAAAGGATGGAATGTATGAACTTGTCATCAAGGCTGAGTTGAAGTGCGGTCAAGGACTCAGGAGAGAAGACGTAAAGAAAATAGTGCCTGAAAGGCTACAAATGTGAAAAGTTGTGTTCAGAAAATGGGTTGGTGGTTAGGGGCCAGAGCAGAAGAACCTGAGCAAAGAGGAGGAGCCACTGGACAACTCAGTCCATCAAAGTCAAGTCCTTGGAAGCCCAAAGTGTAACTGCTATTGTGCAAATTCCCAAGGAACTCACATTTGGGTGTGTTTTCCACACCAAGGAAATCACAATTACACATACTAATAATGTCTATGAGGAAATCAAATGCTAAGGACTTCTCCTGATTAGACTACAGATTTAATTTATTTATTTCATCTACTTTACGGCTTAGAAAAATCAATTGCTCACTTGCAAATAAGTACACAAAATGTTATTTGAACTGAAAAAAAAAGAAAATATATTTCTTTCTCTTCCCTTTGAAATGTGTGCAGTTAAAATGTTGGGCATGTCACAACATCTAAGGTACTATGGCAGTGGTGAATATTGATAAACACATACAAAGAACTGGTCACATTAATTTTAAAAGGTCATGGTACAATTCACTTTATCTGTTCAAAATAATATTTTCCAAAGCAAAGTTCCAAAGAGTAGAGGAAAGACTTGGTTTCTCAGAAGGAGCTTAATGAAGACATAAAAGGATGGATGTGTTCCTGATGATAAACACTTTAAAAACCAGGGTGCTGTCACACCAAGCTGTAAGGAAGGACACGAAACTCTCTTCAGGTCAGTGCAAGACAATCAAGAGAGTGAGCAAAACCAGAGACCCCTCCCACTACAAACCACTTCACTGCAAAGTTTACTACAAAATTCCAGGTCTGAAAAACAATAGATTTCAACTGAATTTATAAATAAATAAGCAGAATAATAAGGTGGACTAGTATAATTAAGTTTTTCCACTGTATGAATAAGATATTGAAGGAGGAAGGTCCCTAGAGCCAAGGATTGAATACAAAATGTGTTCCCTGCTTTGAAAAACTCTTAAATATTCTAAAACAAATGGCAAGTCTACCACAAGTTCCATTCACAGTTCTGGGCCTAATGAATAAACGTTGTATAAACTGTACCCTATGTAGGAGGTACAGACATTGGGTCACCAGGAACATAATTTCAGTGGCTGCTCAGTTCATTGAGCCAGGTACCTCAGTCAGTCCAGAGAAAAAGGATGGCTTGATGAGATATCTTGCAAAGGCCTCTGTGCTAGCTGTAGTCCCTATCCAGCCTAAATGTCCACAGACAAGGAAACAGAATGGTGTTAGTACATTCAAAGGTTGTACTCATGGAGTTTAATGGGGAGATGGGAACTTTT